TCAATGACCTATCTTGTTCTAATTGTTTATTACTAAAAATTCTTCAGTAAAGGATCTATTATAGACTTATTATATAAACAAATGTTTCACTTACCTCTGACTATCCTGATAAGGCAGATATTCTCTTGAGATGAATGATGTAGTTGATGTAACAATTCAAATAACATAACAGTCCTGTGCAATAAATTATTTCCAAGTGGCCCACGTCTTTTCAGTCGTCCAAAGAGTTATCTAGGGTAGATGCGAGGTCAATTTCGGTTCTTTAAACAATAGATTATACAAGTGTCCTACACTCCGATTGCCCGCACTGTGGCTGAGATCAGACAAGCTAGTCNCACAATTTCATACTAAATTTAAAAACTATAATTAGTATTTATTCATATATTATATTTTAAAATCAAAGAACTACTAATCAGGATATAATTAAAGAAATAAGAGTTCATGTTGCTTTTAAAATATTTCACCAATTTCTCTAAAGGAAACACTATCTACAGATTTGCATCGAAGCGTTTCTTATGATAGTGATTTTAATCACTGTCAGATATCATCTATACTTGTCCCATCTATGCCTCGTCCACACTGTGCCTCGACCCCACTGTGCTACCGTTTTTTTTTCTATAATTACTATTTTTTTGTTTTTATCTAAAATTATTATCATGTACATACGTGTTTTATTTTATTTTGCTTTTGAATAATTTTCCTTATACTTGTAAATGTATACTTTTCGTTATGTGAATAAAAAGAAATGATTGTTAATAATTTGGTTTCAATTAATAAAATATTTCGTTTTTTAAATCTATATCATATTTAAACTTTTAATGTGAACTATAATAAAAAAAAAAATTCTCTCATCGAGTTTTTTACAATGTGAAATTGACCATCAAAGTAAAAACCTCTATAGATACTCTGCCATACGCTTTCTCCAAATGTATAAACAATACACAAAAGTTTTTCTCTATATTTTTCTATTAGTTGTCTCACACAGGATATCAGCTTCATCGTTGAATTTTCATGCAAAAACCAAACTTTTTTTTTATTTACTGATGTCTTATTTTTTATTCTCTTATCTATTATCTTTTTCGAATCTTTATATTGTGATACGTAAGCTTTAAATTAAAAGTTTACTATAGAGGCCTCTATAATTTCAACATTACTGTATGTCTCCTTTTTCTTTCAAAATGGGTACCTCATCCTCTCATTACCAATTATTATACACTGTAAATTTTGAAAAACCTTAGATCGTTTTTCTTTACAAAGTTTATAGTAATCTATAAACTATAGATTTTTATAAAAAACTCTATTAACTCTACATGGAAGATTAGACTTGAATTGAATCTGCCCCGCAATTTAAATGTGGAGTAAATTTGATTTAATTAAATTAAAACGATATCATAGCGGGGTCACAACACAACAGGAAAAAAAAATTTGAATTTTTTCCAACTCAAAAAGAACATAGAAAAAATGCAAAATAAGTATTTTTTGAGAAATGATTTACATAGTAACCTAATACAAATTTGGAATATTATAGACTGGTTGAATGAATGCAGCTCCCGGTGGTATTCACGCGGGTTCGTTAAAGTTTGTTATTTTATTTTATCTTAAGTCAGGCTATGTCGAAGCCGGGTCGCTCTGAAGTAATGCCTAACGGTAGTTCTAGGGCGCATAGAGTGCGACAATCGTAAAGGTGTCATTTTACTTTTATAACAAAACGAATACAAAATTATTGGCTCGCAAGCGCCATAAAGCTTATTGCTAAAAACCCCTAAGATGGCGGCGACAATGCAGATATAGAGAGAAGATGATGCAACATACTGGTCCTAATTATTTTATAATTTTTCATAATTTATTCATAACAAAATTAGAAAAAACATATAAATATCCGAAATATAGAGGAATGTTAGTATTTGCATGATACATCATTAAATGAATAATATTATTTTATGATTGAAACAGTACATTAGTTATATGACATAATACTCAGAAAAAGAAATACTTATATTATAATTATAGATTTATAAATGAGCACATATGAGACGTTTGTACTTGATCGAGTTGTAGTCTTTCAATTAGAGTTCTGCGACATCTCAAGGTTTTATCAAGTTGACATGATCAGTGAGCCACTTAAGAGAGCTCTCTTGGGCTGCACTTATCACAAGTACTCCATCAGTGTCCAACAGTATCAAGTCTCCAAAACAAGACTCAATGAGTAGCCCCTGCTCTGTGGTCAACTTGCTAATGGGGTAGCTTGCGAGGACTAGAGCCACTTTTTTATCATCGGTTACCACGACCCTATAAGTCGGTACCCAATGAGTTTTCTTACATGGAGGTTCTTGACCCTTGTTCTCAGGTTTTTGAGCTTCAGTTCCCTTTGACTTTTTCAAGTCATCGGTTCCCTTGTCTCCCTTCTTTGGTAGGTTCTTCTGTCTCTTTATGATCGCTCGGTTCCTTTTCAGCTTGCGCCTCTGACTCCCGCTCAGTTTTTCAGGTCTAAGTTTTAGATCCTCGATTTTGTCAGCTACTGCTCCCGGTTGATCTTGCGATCCTGGTCTGCATTTGTTGACGTTACTGTCTCTTTGCTAGTAGACGGTTCACCAAGTGTCCCGTTGTTCGCATTGAGACCTTCAAGTTCGGCGATTCTTCTGCGAAGAGTCGCCAGTTCACGATCTTGTTCCGACAGGTTGTCCGTAGGATCCCTGATCGTCCCAAGTTCGTTGTTTTGTGGTGTTTCTATGTTTTTGTTCATATAGTTCCCACGAGTAGTCGAGAAATAAAGGTCCATCACAGCAGAGCTCGATACTGTGATAAGGCTGTATACTCTATGGTGCGCCAGGTGCCATAGAGGATCCCAATGGTCACTTTACCTTTCGGCTAACTACCCTGTGACAAGATAGCAACCCTTTCACTTGGTATGGCTGGGTTAGGGGGCCTATTCGCTGTTAGCAAGCAAGTGTGCGCAAGTCTACCGGTCCCAAATAACCAAAGTCATGACCGGCTAAGAGCAGTGGTACGTGTTGCCACCCCCACTGAAATGATGAAAATGATGACTGTGTGATGTTCTTTGTCTTTGACGATATACAGAATGAAACTGTAATAAATTAAATATTTCAAATTAATTATAGACACAGAACTTTAATAATTAAATTTATTTTATCGATTCAATCACGAATCACAGACTAATAATTGAATCGTGTGATACGCTAAGGGATAATGATGAACCGAATAACTATAAACATAGAATGAACTATAAACCGAGTTTTTACTCTAATTCATTAAATTATCATTTATCGTTAAACACACATAGAAACAGACATTATTTTTCCTGACTCGATATTTATTTAAGTATTAGGTTTACCATTACTAATCGTATAACTATTAACATAATAATATTCTAAATCTAATTTTTAACTGCCTGATTTTAAATAATTCTAATTAATAATGTATTCTTGAGTAAGACCACCACGAATTCCATTTTCCATAAAAAGCAACATATCAAAGTCGCTTAACAATTCCAGGTCCATAATCGTTGTTTTTAACATTGCATCAAATGACAAACCTATTAGGAAATTTGAACCTTTACCATGGTAGACCTCCACTTCATACAATAATTTAGCAAACTCCTCGTCGATTATACTTAAATCATTTATATCACCAATAACAAGTGATAAATACGTTATCCCAAGTATTCATATCTTCATCATGTACACTTTCAGTCTGTGTGTATGTGTGTGTGTAAAATGTCAAGTAGGGCATGAGAATACCTACTCCCGAACTAGGTACAGGATTTTATAGACTTGCGGTACAGAGTTCGTTGAAATAATTTTTTTTGCATTTTTTCTTAATTCTTTTTAGAGGTGGAAAAAAAATTTAGAATTCGTTCGATGAAAACAACACGATTTTAATCTTGTTAAATTTATAATCTCTAAATATTGTAAAAATTGGCCACTTTAAAAAAACTTTTATTAATTAAATATCTCCAAATTAATAGGTGTATAAAATTTGTTTTTATACTGAATTACACAATAAAATCATATCAGTAAAATAGAATATTTTTTAATGATTAATGACGAATATATATTTTACTTAACCAAATTTTTACGCTGATTTTAAGTCTGAAATTAGATATTTTTCTATCACCTCTTTTTTGAGATTATTACTAATTAAAAACACAAGAAAATATTTTATAAAAAAACTGTTTTATCAAGTTATTATTAATTTTTAAAATGTTAAAAATAATCCGTGCAAGTTTTAAAATCAATATGGCATTTTTAACTTTGTTTGATCCTTTAAAGTTGATTTTTATGAAAGTCTACAAGCATCAATTGTCTAGAAGTCGATCTCTTAATTAAGTACGTCAGCTGCCCAGCCGTATTTAATATACGTATAAATGTGTTACAGGAGTCTATAAAAAAATAATTATAAAAAGGATTTGTGACAGATATTTATTATTAATTATATGTAGCTATATGCGGAAAAAATATTAAAACAATTAAGTATGAATTGTAAATAGTTTCATTTCTAAGTGTTGTTATTTATAAAATAAATAGCTTCAACATGTTAGGTCATTATTAGTATAAGTCTAAACTCTCTTGCACTTCTATAAAATAAGGAGAAAGAAAAATCGATCCCATCTGATAAGTAATAAATTTACAGCGCATTGCAAAACCTGCCTATGACAATGCATTTAAAAAAAGTGTTTAATTTACTTTATGTTTACTAGAAATCAATTCAAAAGATATGTATTAACATTCAATTTTTATTATCAAATAATAAATAATTATACACTTATTTTTAACACTTCAATAAAATTGTATTATAGTTCATTTTTTGCATCAGCATTTTTTTTTACTTTGGACAAAATACGAGTCAAAAGAGGAAGATTTTGCCAAAATGTATAAATTTCTTCAAATGGATTTTTTATCAATTTTGGTTTCGGAGAGTCTATTTGTAAAATCAATGAATCATTAATAGTAGAAAATGCTGGCCATGGATCACTGTAGGATGTTCCATCAATAGTTACTAGACTATAAATAGATTATTTAAACTTTATTAATCTAATATTTTTTTATAGATAATTTAATTTTTATTATTACTTCATTGCAGCGAATTGTGTCCAAATATTTATCATAGTCTTAGAAACTTCAGTGTCGAGATCATTTAATTGACCTTTATTAAATTGTTTTATGTTAAACAAAAGATTAAGATCATCACCATGTGTAACTCCTAATGGTTTTTGACATTTACCGAAAACTTTATTAAACGAAAACTCATTTTGATGATCAAACAAATAAAAATAAACTCTAGAAGATAGTTTGACAGCCATATCAAGTGAACAATCTACGAAAAATCCATCACCAAACATCTAAAATTAGAGTATCTGTAAACATTTCATGTGAACATTTAAAAAATAAATATAGTTTAAAAAAACTAAAAAAACACGCTTTTAAAGCACATCGAACTAAAAAGTTAAAAATAAGTTATAACATAAGCTTAATGTAATTATGAACAAAAAATACTAGTATTATTGTGATAAAAGTGACGGGCGCTCAATATACGAAAAATATGGCACAAAGCACCCACGCTTTTATCACAATAACACTAGTATTTTTTGTTCATAATTATTTTAAGCTTATTTTAAACATTATTTTTAACTTTTTAGTTCGATGTGCTTTAAAAGCGTGTTTTTTAGTTTTTTTAAACTATATTTATTATACACGTTAGCCATAAATATTATAATTTTTTATAAATTCTCCGAGAAAATTACAATACTAAACTATTAAATATCAATTTCATACTATATTTAATTGAAATTATAAACATTTATTCGTATTTTATAGGTATAAATAAAAGAACTACTAATCAGGAATAATGAAGGGAATATGAGTTAATTTTACTTTTGGAATAATCCATCAATTTCTTCAAATTAAACACTATCTACAGATTTGTATCGAAACTTTTTTTATGATAATGATTTTAATTACTGTCAGATACCATCTGTACTTGTCTAATCTATGCACACGTCCATACTGTACCGTGATCACACTGTGCTCACATTTTTTTTTGACTGGTATAACATAATAAAAGTTCTTGATTTCATATATTTAGAGGCATTTTGTCGCTACAAAATTACATTACTTTAACGACAGTTAGTGAGAAAATATTACAATAATTACTTTAAATGTTCCCTATAATATTTAGGTTACTTTAGATTAATATGAAAATAAATAAAAAAAGGTTTATAAATTTCAAACTTTAGTTCAAATATAAGTAAAAACTAATGTGTAATACGAAATGACGATTTATAAACATTTTGACATTATTTTTAACATGCTTATATTAGTTCCACGTGTATGTTTGTTGTAAGTTTGTAACTCTCTACGCGCCAAGTGTTATTATTCTCGCATATCCCGTCGTCTATGACCTTGAGCTAGACTGTCTTAACGCATTCACCCCTCCCTGATCACCAAACGACGACAATACTAATCCTGTATAATTTTTTTATAACGATATATAGCAGGTATATATATAGCCTTTATTATCAATAGTAGTAAGACACGGTTGTGAATTTATAAATACACTAAATGCCAATAAAAAAATTATAACTATTGATATTCATAATTGACAATAAACACTCCATGACTGCGATAGCAATGTCATATAAAACTAAAAAGTTAAAAATTATTTTATAGTTTTTAGTTCATGTACTTTAAAAGCGTGTTTTTCAGTTTTTTAAACTATATTTACTTATGTTAAATAAACAATTTTAAATGTATATTTATGCCTACATAAACTATCTTTTACACATTAATCTGAATAATCAAGTAAAATGTATTTATATTGAGCACGCAATTTAAAATCATTTTTTTATTTTTTCATTTTCTTTTTTTTTGAGTAGAAGTATATTAACCATACGATACCCCTTGTGTTTCTGACAATTACCCTAAAAAGCCACTATAAGTTAAGGCTCAACACTATTAAATTTCAGGACAATTTAGAAAAACAAATTATGATTAAACAAAACTTTATATGATTTGGATCACCTTAACTGCTTCTAAATGTGATTGATCTTCTACTCTTCCAGATGAAAAATATTTCTTCAGTAATTTTTCTCCAATAGTTACTGTATCTTCAGGTAAAGCAGTGTCTTTGTACATTAATACAATGGATACTAATTTTATAAAATCCGTTTTGAACTCGGGATACAATAATGAAGAATCATTATACATAGCTAAAAATTATACATTTGCAAAATGCATTTATACATTTATATATACTTATATAACTTATTTGTATAATACAAGTATAAAATTTAAATATCTTTAAGGGTAGTCTTAAAACAAACCGTGAAGTTAAACAAGCATAAATAAATTGGCTCTAAATAGTAAAAAAAACAACATTACATTTTTCACATTTTTATTTCAAGTTTTTCTGTTTAATCCAAGGCTTGAAATCGATATGACACATTAAATTTAATAACAAGATTAAAAGGCTAACTAAAATTAAAAAATAATTTTAATCGCTAATTAAAATCGAAATTAAATTACAAAAAATAAAAATTGATTTAAAAATTTTAATCAAAATTATTATACTTCAGTAATGATTTTTTTTTACACTTAAAAAATAAAAAAATAAATTTATCGATACAAAAAAATATTCAATTAATTTTTTGGGGTATTATTATTTCCAAAAAAAAAAAATGTTTTCTTTAGAAATCGTTCTGGCATTGATCAAATTATAGACCATAACAGGTACTAAGATTTATTTTAAAATTCTATTCATACTGAATTAATCTTAAGTTATCAAAAAAATGAACAAGACACATTTAACTTTCATTATTTATCACCTACAGATATGCATGTGCATGTAAAGCCATTTCTATGAAACCTTTCTATAATTATTCCCTTTTCATTTTTATTGACTACTTAATCTCATTAAAAAATTAAATAATTGCAAATATTATTTTATACAAATATTTTTATATTGACATTTAAATTGATATGAAAATTATAAAATCGTTATAACTCTCTTACAAAATAAATACAATAATAATAAATGTTTTTTTTAGTTACATACATTACTTGAGTGTCAAAAAATATTTAGAATCAAAAAAATTTTTGTTTTCCATTTAATTAATAATATTGATATTATTATTTTATGTTTTTAATATCAATATAATATTTCTTTCTATTTCGATTTAGCTAATTTATTTCGATTTCAACAATTTTTTTCTTAAATATTTGTTTTAGTAGCAAGTGTGTTACTAAGTGTTAAACTAAAAATTATAGAGAGGAGTGGATTAAATTACATATGATAAATTCTTTATCATACATAATCACAGTTTACACTTTCTTTTTTTTTCAATTTTAATTCTCCAATTACAATTATTTTTATTAAAATGTTATATAATAATAACCAATGATAGGAAAAATAATTATACGTTTATATCCTGTACAAGCACACATAAATAGTGTGAGCAGTCAGCTTTAATTCTGTTCAAAAAATATTTTTATGCTCCATTAAAAAATCGTATACTTTTAAGTGACGAGCCAAAAAAAAAAAAAATTGTTATAATAAACGGAATATATTAGTTTTGTGTGTATATATAATTGCGATTTTAATGTTTTAATATAGTGACTAAGGAAATAAAATTTAAATCTACAAAATAGGGTTGATTTTTTTACTATTGAGCCAATTGATGATACAATTTCCTACTAAAAATATTATATTAAAAAAATTCAATATAAGAACCATTTTAATATATATATAATTGCTTCTTCTTCTAAAAAAACAAACATGTAATTTTTTTTTTTTTCAAAATTTCAAAATATCTATTTTTTAGCTTTTTTATTGTAAAAAATGTTGACGAATCAATAACAATTTTAGGACAAATTATCTTTATATTACAAGCGTTTTAATACATAGAGTTGGGTAAGGAACACAGACATGGTATGCGTACACCAGTACAACCTGCATTCATTTTCATTACAAACCCACTTTATGTATTAAAATTCTTGTAACTGAATGAGTAGTTATTTTAAAATCTTGAAAATAAAATTTAATTTTTTACAAAATATAATTGTATTTTAAGTGATAAGCAATGTTAGTTAGGCCTGAGATATCCTGTATATATTAATGAATAATAAAAAAATATTAAACTGCTTATTATAGCTAACTAATAATTTACGTGCTACAATTAAACCGCCTTCAGCCGAGTTAACTCCAATAATAACTGGTACATTTGATTCTTGTTGAAATTTCACTAATGGATTAACACAAATAAAAGCATCAGATCTGCAATTTTCAACAGTAGGAGGAAATGTCACTAAAGGGTTATTTACCCATTCCTAAATAAAAATTTTAAAATTAAATCCTTAATTTAAATGATTGAAATTTCACTTTTTTTTAATATGAAAAATCATTAACAATTGGTCGGACACGTTATCACGATTGAATGGTGACTCTCTTTCCACTCAACTCGGCGATTTCCCTTTCTCTCACCACAATAAACTCGTAAACCTATAGCATATAGATTGGTGATCATTAGGGTGAAAAGGAGGAGACATACCTCTTGGAAAATATGCCATCCTCAAAAAAGTATTTCTTTTAACGTATCATACGTGAAAATGTTCCCCTTAAAAAATAGGGGGTCAAAAAAATTAATAAATCTTTTCAACGTGAACATCTAATGCAACATGACGAACATCCACAAGTAGCCATTCTCTTACCACTCGACTTGATTATTCTCTTTTTTTCACTGAACTGAACTCTTATACTGTTCCATGGCGGATTTTTTTATTGAAAATTATGATTGTGTAAATATTTTAAAAAAATAGTGACACATTCGAAAATTTTCATCAACTAACACAAGTTTGCAAGAATTATACATCACCAATCCCGATATAATAAGATATGTCTAAAGAAAATAATGGTGGCTTCAAAAATAGTTACTTAGCTAAACTTTTGCTCAATAATCGGAGCTACTTATATTCAAGTCTTGAATCCTTGACTGTGCTCTTTAGGCTATAGAGTATTATTTTCTTATTTAATAATATATAAAACTATACAATTTTTTTTTATTTTTAACCCATAAAATACTTACAAAAAAATCGGGATACATTTGTGTTATAACACTAGCTTTAAGTGATCTTAAACATTTTAGCATGACATGAGACGTATCTGTTTTACACCCAGCCATATTGGCAACTCTCTTAGCACGTTGAAATGCAACCCCTCGAGCAGCAATAGCCCATTTACATAATGGGGAACCACTTTGCATAATTGCTTTGTGAAATAGCCCTTTACTTAATGGTGATAATAAATGATATCCGACACTTGCGCTTCCAGCACTTTCCCCGAATATAGTAACATGGTCTGGATCACCACCAAATTGACGAATGTTCTCCTTAACCCAACGCAAGGCCAATACCTGATCTTTTAATCCGTAATTACCAGGTATAACATCATCTTCAGTACTCAGGAAACCTTACAAAAATATTAACAATATAAGTTAAATCCAGATTCGAATTAAAATTTTTAATTTACCTAGTAAACCAAGTCTGTAATTAGATGTTACTAAAACTACATTTTTGTCCATAAAATATTCAGGACCATAAAGAGCAGGTCCGCTTTGACCAATAACAAATCCCCCGCCATGAATCCAAAACATTACTGGTAACTTTTCATTAATATTTGGCGTATAAACATTTAAATAAAGGCAATCTTCATCGCCTAACAACTTATCTGTCATATTTAATAAAAGACTTAATAATTGCAAACATGGTTTTGGTGGATTAGTTGCATCTAATGAAATGTTCCACGGAACTGGGGGTTCTGGTGCCTAATTTAAGAATATTAAATATTTCTTAAAAATACATGTTATATAATATGATTCTTTTAACACTAGCCACTCGATTTTTCTCAAGATAACAATTGAGTTAAGAAATCTATTTTTGGTACTTTTTAGTTTTATATATTTCTTGATATATTCTGTCTGAACTTCTATTCCACGCTGGTTTTGGTGAACCATTCCTCTCTTGGTTAATTTCATATTTTACTGAAAGAAACCTGTGGGTAAATGTTCAAGGTTGTGCTTCTGAAGTGATAACCCCCTCCTCCGGTGTTCCACAAGGTTCAATCCTATCTCCCCTTCTTTTTTTCATTTTTGTAAATGTCGCAAATTCTGTTTTACAGCATGCTAAAATACTCCTTTCCGCAGATGACTTCAAATTATTTATGCGTGTTACTAATAGTTCCGATGTTATTTTACTTCAAACTGATCTAGATCGCTTAGTTAGTTGGGCTGAATCAATTGGCTTGACTTTTAATACCTCTAAATGTTATAAAATGACTTTTTCACGTATTTCTAATCCTATATCTTCAACTTACTATATTCATAACCATCCTATTTCTTCTGTTTCTTCTATAGTTGACCTTGGGTTTCGTCTCACTCCTACTTTAAATTTTCGACTTCATATTGAAGAGGTATGTTGTAAGGCTCTGAAAACTTTAGGTTTTATTAAGAGAATTTCTCATGAATTTCACCTCTCAAGACCACTAAAAAATCTTTTTTGTTTACTAGTTCGCCCTATCCTTAAGTATGGTTCGGTTTTATGGGATCCTTACACAGCTACCGACTCTATGATGCTTGAAAGAGTGCAGCGTAAATTTTTACACTTTGCTGCTCATATCCTTAATATCCCCCATTCACCTTATGACTTAACTCCTATTCAAAATTTCTTACAACTTCCTTCTTTATCTGCTAGAAGACATGACTCTAATATCCGTTTCCTTTCTAAACTCTCAGCTGGCTTGATTGATTCTCCTGTCCTACTTTCTAAATTTAACTTTCGGGTACCTGCTCGTTCAACTCGCTATATTGCCCCTTTCCTCATTCCTCATTTATCTTCTAATTATATTTTTCATTACGCTCTTCCACGTTTAATGCGCACTGCAAATAATGACCCTGATTTTTAACATTCTTTTCATTTTTAATGTAGTCATTTAGCCTTCCTATTTAATATTTAAATTTTTCTTATTCTCTTTGTCAAGATTAAGTTTATTAATGTTCCATTTTTAGTTATTAGATAATTTTAAGTTGTCCAGTACATATTACTGTCTAGTACATATGATATTTTTTGGGCTATTGCCTGTATAATTTATAATAAATAAATAAATAAATATATTAGTTAATTCCTTATACCTTAAAAAGGTGCCAACGTTACATTTTTAAATGATAATATACATATTTAATTATTTAATAAAATATAAAAAATTTAATTAAATTAAAATCTAATTAAGAAAATAACAAGTCAATAGCAAATTTTGGACCAGTACTTCAAAAGTTAATCTGAAATTATTTTAAAATAAGTTTTTAATTTATTTTAAATAAATATAAAAAAATGTATGTAACTAATAATACCAAACATAGTTATTTTTTTAAGAGAAATCGAGTAACTAGCGTTAAAAGAATTATGTAATTATATGTACATACAAGACATAATGATATAACCTCCTGGTGCCTAATCAGTGACGTATTTAGAGGGGGCACAGGGCACGTGCCCTCCCAATAACTATGTCATGTTAATATTTTATCAAAAAATGTAATAATATATACTATTAGAAAAAGTTATTTTTTAGTTATCGATAATAACATGGGTTTATAAAATGATAGTTGATATAGTTGTCTTGTAGAGCAAAATTTGACGCTAGCACCGTTTTCCCGTTAATGTTATCACCTATTTTTGAAGTGTTTATTGTATAGCGATGCATACTGATTTATAAAGAAATATTTTTATTAATAAAAATGGAATCAAAACAAATAACAGATATTTTTCAAAAAAATCTGAAGTATGTGTTTAATATGTGTTAACAAAAATTATAAGCAAAAAAAAAGTCGTTTTATAATACCTTATTTATAAACATTTTTTGTGCCCTTATTATAAATTTCTAAATACGCTACTGTGCGTAATTTAAGTTTTAAACCAGACCAATCATACAAATCTTGATAACAGATTAAAAAGTTACCTTAAAGCGATATTCGTCGATAGGAGGTTTTGCAAATGGAATTCCTGTAAACGAATAATACGATCTATTTTCTCTTGATTTCAACGTTTGACCTCTGATCGGCCCATTTTGAGTATAAATAAATGGATAACAATATGCTGCTTCAAAAATTCGAGCAATGATTATAATCATCAAAAACCTCATTTTTTACTACAACATTAAAAAAAATATATAAATTTTTAATTAAAGGATGTATATTTTTAATATGTTACAACTGCTTATTATACAATTTTTAAAAAAATCAATTATTACGTATATATTAATAGTAAAACTATAGTAATAATAATAATAACTATATTTATAAAATTATTTTCAGGTTACATTTATATTCTTATAAATTTAAAAATGATACTAAGGTGCACTTTAGTGACTTTTCAATAAATCTGTTGGGAAATTTTATATTGATTTATAATATAATAAATCAGTTTCTTTTTTAATTTGCAACAAATAACATAATAACAAAATTTAAAAAAAATTATTGGTGCATTAGAAATCTCTGACACCTGAATTTAAATTATATTTTATATTATTCAAAAATTGCACTAAAAACATTTTAACACTTCACTATAAATATATTTATCAAACAAATTATATTATTATTTATAAATCTTTAAGTATTTACTAATATTGAAAATATACTGATTTATCTGCGTGCAGTTGTATGTTTTTGAATAGTGTGATCATTAATACTAATACCTTTATCATTTGATTCCTTCGCAATTAAAAATACTTCATAAATAAAGTGTTTATAACCAGATAACTAACTTATCATATAATAAATAATCTCAAATGAAAAAATGATTAATCAGTTTTATTAAATAGAATTATAGTTATATAATTTATAGTCATTAAAACTACGTTCAAGCATAGGGTGAAATAACTATTAAATTTAACGTGATGAATAAAAAAAATGTATTTATAAATGTAATATAAATTGATTTTAAAAGTAAAAAAAACTAAAAATGGCTTAAATTCTGTGCTATTATTCAGAGTTCAAAGGTTAGATTATGAAATCACTAGAAAAGTTTATGTAATTTCGTGACGATTACTTAAATATGATCGGAACCCAACAGTCTCAATCGATCAGTATACAGAGTGGCCCACCACTCACTGACAACTTAAATAACTTTTGATCTAGTTAATATTTTTAGTTGATTTTTTTTTTATAATATTAGTTATACGTTAGGTCTATAGCTATATCTCAATAATTAATTTTTTTACATTTTATTAAAAATATTAATTATTTTTAAATTTTAAATAAAATGTAAAAAAAAAATCTAAGATAGCTATTTTGTAGAGTAGAATTTAAGAAAAATTTTAATAAAAAAATATCTTATTAATATTCAATAGTAAATATTCTGTAGCGTTTTGAAGTTTGTGAAAATTTGAATTTTCATGTACTATTTTACGGTATTAAACATTGAAATACGTATTGAGAAAAGGACAGAAGAAAACGCTATCTTTTCATGATTACTGTGTATACATATGATGATAGTGTGTATACATTACAAACTTGGCATAAATACCATGATAAGAAATTAGATAAGGCAATTATTACTTATCACTCTCATTCAAAAGTATATTGAAAAGATAGCGTTTTCTTCTGTCCTTTTCTCAATACGTATTTCAATGTTTAATACCGTAAAATAGTACATGAAAATTCAAATTTTCACAAACTTCAAAACGCTACAGAATATTTACTACTGAATATTAATAAGATATTTTTTTACTAAAATTTTTCTTAAATTCTACTCTACAAAATAGCTATCTTAGATTTTTTTTTTACATTTTATTTAAAATTTAAAAATAATTAATATTTTTAATAAAATGTAAAAAAATTAATTATTGAGATATAGCTATGGACCTAACGTCTAACTAATATTTAAAAAAAAAATCAGCTAAAAATATTAACTGGATCAAAAGTTATTTAAGTTGTCAGTGAGTGGTGGGCCACCCTGTATATTGAAATTTGGTTATTATCGATAATATAAATTTATAATCGATATTACAAAACATCCAATACAAATTTGAATTTTTATTTTGTCTAACTAATGATAATTCGAGAACAATTTGATATTTTTATTTAATTTGAATCATAAGCATAATCAGTTGTAGATAAGTGATTTTTGATTTATTCGAGATATATTAAATGGTGTATCTTTAATAAGTTTGAAAAAACATCTAACTTTACTTGAAGTTTATTTGCAATATATTAACATCCTCAAAGCACGAGAATACATATACGCATACTTAACAAAGTTGTATACGCTTCATATACAGTAAGGGACCACTATTAAAATTGTTCTAGACATAATTTTTGTCAAGGTCAATTTTTAAATTATGCAGAAAAATTTTTAATGTAAGTTTTTATTGATTTTTTTAATTTTTGATCATTTATAAACGAACGCAAGAAAAGTAAAGCCAAAACTAATAGTAGTTAATTGATTTAAATCGTTATTCAAAATACTAAATTTCATATTTTTATTAAAAACTATAACATTTTTAATACACAGAGTGTAACAAATCTAACTCACAACTCATAACTTTATTAACTTATAATATACATAACATTGTTACTTTTATTTTTTTTTAATCATATTTTTTTTTTTTAACAGTGATTAAAATCACTATCAAAAATAAACGCTTCGATGCAAATCTTTAGATTGTGTTTAATTTAAAAAAAATTGGTGTATTATTCCAAAAGCTACATGATCTGCTAGTTCCTTATTAATATCTTGATTAAGATAAAGTATGTCGAATGAAAAAGGGATTATTAAAAAATATTATTTCTCATAAAAAAATTGTGTTGATCCATACACTTTTCAATAAGTTATAGCATTATAAAGTTAAATATAATATAAAAAATAAAATCAAGAATTTTCACACGAAAATAGCATTCGATAGCCATTTTCGCCATGAAGACAAGTCCAGAGATCAAATTTTTCTTTTTAAATTAAAGCATATTACATTAGCATTAATTTAAGATATTTATAAAAGTGTCAGACCTTCCGGAACATTTTCAAAAGTTAAGTTGAAAAAGTTAAGTTGAAAAAGTTAATTTTTTGTGAAAAAGTTGTCATTTTAAATCCCCCCCTGTGGGCAGATAAAGGGTCAGATTTACAAAAAAAAATATACCAAATGATAAGTAAAGACATCAAGCATTTATAAAAAAAAAATTATATTGATATGTTCATTTTTGAAAAAGTTACGGCAGTTTTTAGTAAAAAAAATTGAAAAAATTTCGAAAATTAGCGATTTTTAAATTTGTAATTTTTTTGGAGGTTTCCCCCATTTACGAGGAACGAGGTAATTTTTTTCAATTTTTAAGGGTAATGTCTTCGAATAGATACGATTTGTGATCTTTTGACGTTTCGATAAAAGAAGTCCGTTCGGTGAGAGCTGAGCTAAAGTGGTAACAGACACAAAAAAAACACATCATAGTAAAACCAATACCTTCTCAGCTTCGCATCGACGCTAAAAATTGAAGAAATGTCGAAAATTTGCGATTTTTAAATGTGTAATTTTTTGGGGATTTCCCCCGTTTACGGGGAACGAGGAAAATTTTTTCAATTTTTGAGGATAATGTCTTAGACTAGATACGATTTGTAATCTTTTGACATATTGTTCATCAAAATCGGTCTAGCGAGAGCTGAGATTGAGTGTTCACAGACACAAAAAAAAAATAAAAAACACAAACACAAACACTTCACATCGAAGCTAAAATTATATTGATATGTTCATTTTTGAAAAAGTTATAGCTGTTTTAAACAAAAAAAAAAACGGTAGCACAGTGGGGTCGCGGCACAGTGGTGACGTGGCATAGATGGATCAAGTATAATGATATCTGACAGTGATTAAAATCACTATCAAAAAATAAACGCTTCGATGCAAATCTTTAGATAGTGTTTAATTTTAAAAAATTGGTGGATTATTCCAAAAGCTTCATAAACTGCTAGTTCCTTATTAATATCCTGATTAAGACAAAGTATGTCGAATGAAAAAGAGATTATTAGAAAATATTATTTCCCATAAAAAAATTATATTGATCAATACACTTTTCAATAAGTTATAGCATTATAAAGTTAAAAATGTAAAAAATAAAATTGAGAATTTTCACACAATAATAGCATTTGGTAGCCAATTTCACCCTGAAGACAAAATAAAGTACNATTTGGTAGCCATTTTCACCTTGAAGATAAAATAAAGTCCGAAATTTTTTTTTTCCATGATAAAGTATATTACATTAGCTTTAATTTAAGATATATATAAAAGTGTCAGACTTTCCGGAACACTTTCAAAATTTAAGTTGAAAAAGTCAATTTTTTGTGAAAAAGTTGTCATTTTGAATCCCCCCCTGTAGGCAGGTAAAAAGTCAGATTTATAAAAAAAATATACCAAATGATAGGTAAAGACATCATGCATCTACAAAAAAAAGAATTATATTGATCCATACATCTTTCGAGAAGTTATAGCATTATAAAGTTAAAAATATAAAAAAGAATTTTTTTACAAAAATCGTATTTTTTTTATTAAGTTTAATGTCTGTTTTCACCATGAAGATAAAATAAAGTCCGAAATTTTTTTTTACCATAATAAAGTATATTACATTAGCTTTAATTTAAGATATATATAAAAGTGTCAGACCTTCCGGAACACTTTCAAAAGTTACGTTGAAAAAGTTCTACTTTCTATATGCATTTTTATGTTTTGAATCCCCCCTGTATTTAGGGAAATGGTCCGATTTAAAAAAACAGTATGTCGAATGAAAGATCTATATAAATACTACTTCTCATAAAAAAATTGTAATGATTCATACATTTTTCAAAAAGTTATAGCATAATAAAGTTAAAAATGGAAAATACAAAATCGAAAATTTTCACACAAAAATAGCATTCGGTAGCCATTTTCACCATGAAGATAAGATAAAGTCCGAAATTTTTTTTTTTCATAATAAAGTATATTACATTAGCTTTAATTTAAGATATATATAAAAGTGTCAGACCTTCCGGAACATTTTCAAAATTTAAGTTGAAAAAGTTAATTTTTTGTGAAAAAGTTGTCATTTTAAATCCCCCCCTGTGGGCAGATAAAGGGTCAGATTTACAAAAAAAATATACCAAATGATAAGTAAAGACATCAAGCATCTATATAAAAAAAGAATTATATTAATCCATACATCTTTCGAGAGTTAGAGCATTATTAAGTTAAAAATATAAAAAAAAATTATTTTACAAAAATCGTAATTTTTTATTAACTTTGATGTCAACTTTCACCACGAAGACAAGTCCAGAGGTCAAATTTTTTTTTTTCAAATTAAAGTATATTACATAAGCTTTAATTTAAGATATATATAAAAGTGTCAGACCTTCCGGAACATTTTCAAAAGTTAAGTTGAAAAAGTTCTACTTTCTATATGCATTTTTTATATTTTAAGCCCCCCCATATATAGGGAAATAGTCTGATTTAAAAAAAAAGTATATCCAATGAAAGATGTATATAAATACTACTTCTCATGAAAAAATTGTATTGATCCATACATTTTTTAAAAAGTTATAGCACTTTAAAGTAAAAAATGTAAATTATAAAATCGAAAATTTTCACACAAAAATAGCATTCGGTAGCCGTTTTCACCATGAAGACAAGTCCAGAGGTCAAATTTTTTTTTTTCAAATTAAAGTATATTACATTAGCTTTAATTTAAGATATATATAAAAGTGTCAGACCTTCCGGAACACTTTCAAAAGTTACGTTGAAAAAGTTCTACTTTCTATATGCATTTTTATGTTTTGAATCCCCCCTGTATTTAGGGAAATGGTCCGATTTAAAAAAACAGTATGTCAAAACACATCTTAGTAAAACCAATACCTTCTCAGCTTCGCATCGAAGCTAAAAATGAAATTTTTAAGATTAATATGCAATCTGGAAATTTTATAATTACTAATTACAGTACATTTGTCAGAAAAATTCGATTTTTTTACATTTTTATCGTAATAGATAACTGAAATAGAAAGAATAGTAATCATATCCTAATAACTTTTGGTGTTTAAAAAAATTCTGCAATTGAAATATTCAGAACTTAATTAATTTTAATAATTTACTTTAATTAAATGAACCAATCAAACCAAAGTAGTTAAAAAGATTTACTCAATTGAGCATATTATCAAAAATATAATTATAATTGTAAAACTCCATCGTTAACTTCAGGTGAAACTAAAAATCATTTTTTTTTTAAATTTATGATTTATATAGCAACATATTACTAAAAAATTTGGCATATTATAGACTGGTAGTAGCACACAGAAATAGAGTTAAAAAATTAATAAATTATAAAGTAAAATTATTTACTTTTGTAGTTGAATACTTTTATCATATCAAATCTAATTCGACAATAAATACTTTAAGAATATTAAAAATTTATGATTTTAATAATTAAAATCATTAAACAATTATTGTTTGTATGGAAAAAGCTGGTTAAGCTACTTTTTATTTGAATAAGGAATATTTTTTTGATTTTTAAGAGTAATAACTTAAACTAATCATTAACTTAAATATCATAAACTTAAATGAATCATTTGACGTATCGTTGAAAAAAGTAGGTCTAGTGAGGGTTGGCAAAATAAATCGTAGCCAGAAAAAGAACCACATAGTAAAATAATATTAACATGAATATCAATTTCTTCTCACGAGGGGAGACTATAGTGATAAGATCCTTTATATTTATTGAAATTATTGAATCTAAATGAGATAAATATCAAATGATTTGAAAATTCTATTCTAACTCAAAAAAAAAAATGCAAAATTTTAGAAGCCACAGACGGATTTAAACCTCGTACCCTATGCGTGTAAAATACAAGTGTTACGCATTCGGCAACTGTTCGTTGCTTTTGTTGAGTGATAAAATTGGCTATTTAAGCTAACTCAAATTTAAAAATTACTTTTTCGACTTTAAAAAAGTAAAAAATGTTAATAAGTATAATATCATATGTCTTATGAACTTTATTCTATGTCAATGAAATTATATAATATTCATGAAAGTCAGTTTATTCCCCTAATAAAATATTTTAAAATAAAATAAAATACAAAACCTAGAATTTTAATAAAAAATAGCATATTTTTAAATACGGTAGCCTTTTGCGCATAGAAGATAGGTCGTCGGGACAAATTTTTTTTTTTCATTTAGTAGTACATAAAATAAGCTTTAATTTGATTTATGTTTAAAGGACGCAGTATTTCTGAAACATTTTCAAAAATTAAGTTGAAAAAGTTAGTTTTTGTAAAAAAGTTGCTATTTTAAATCCCCCCCCCATAAGCAGGTTAAGTGTTAAATTTTCAAAAAAAAAAATGATATCAAATGAAAGGTNAGAATAAGTGTTAGATTTTCAAAAAAAAATGATATCAAATGAAAGAAAATTACCTAAGGTTTCAATATAAAGAAATATTATTTTGATTAGTTAATATTTGAAAAAGTTATGGGAGTTTTAAGTACAAAAAACATTCCGATAGAAGGTGATTTTTATCGTAAACATTACATTTTTTTTATAATTTCGACAGCCATTTGCACATAGAAGATAAGGTGTCGGGACAAATTTTTTTTTTTCATTTTATAGTACATAAAAAAAACTTTAATTTGATATATGTTTAAAGGACGCAGTATTTCCGGAACATTTTCAAAAGTTCAGTTGAAAAAGTTCTATTTTTTATACAATGTTTCAAAGTTTGAACCCCCCCTATATAAGGGGAAATTGTCTAATTTTAATAAAAAGTATGTCAAATGGAAGATGTACTTATAATGTATTTAGAAAAAAAAAAATTGTGCTGATACATGCATTTTTCGAAAAGTTATAGCATTTTTAAGTTGAAAATTAAAAATCGAAAATCGAAAATTTTAACACAAAAATAGTGTTTTTTTAACTACGACAACCGTTTAAATGTAGAAAAAAAAGTGTCGGGACAAATTTTTTTTTTTCATTTTATAGTACATAAAATAAGCTTTAATTTTCTATATGTTTAAAGGACNTACATAAAATAAGCTTTAATTTGATATATGTTTAAAGGACGCAGTATTTCCGGAACATTTTCAAAAATTAAGTTGAAAAAGTTAGTTTTTGGTAAAAAAGTTGCTATTTTAAATCCCCCCCATGAGCAGGTTAAGTGTTAAATTTTCAAAAAAATTATATCAAATGAAAGGAAAATATCTAAGGTTTTAGTTTTAAAAAAAATTATGTTGATTTGTTGATTTTTGAAAAAGTTATGGAAGTTTTAAGAAAAAAAAGTGAAAAATATGACAAAATTTGTCGATTTTTAAATTTGTAATTTTTTTGCATATTTCCCCCATTTGCGGGGAACGANATTTTTAAATTTGTAATTTTTTTGGATATTTCCCCCATTTGCGGGGAACGAGGGAAAATTTTTAAATTTTTAAGGGTAATGTCTTCAACTAGATACAATTTGTGATCTTTTGACGTATTGTTAAAAGAAATCGGTCCAGTGAGAGCTGAGAAAAAGTAGTGACAGACACAAAAAAAAAAAAAATAAATAAATAAACACATCATGGTAAAATTAATACCTTCTCAGCTTCGCATCGAAGCTAAAATGTATTTACTCACTGAAACGTCCAAACACTGCAGTGCTGAAAAAGCAAATGATACATGACTTAATATTTTTCAGGTCCCACCTCCAATACAATCATTTGGCATTTGATCCAGTCATAGGAATAGTATACTTGTCTTTTATTTATTACTTGTACAAGTGTACAAGTACTGGTATACTTGTCAAGTATACCAATCATGGGAACGCTCCACTTGTTAATATTTGGATGATTTGGCAAGTATACAATTATTGGTATACTTGGCAAGTACACCAGTCGTGGGAATCCGTCTTAAGATATAAACGGCGGCAGCGGCGGTAGGAATATATAAATATATATATGTAAGGCGCATTACACGCGAGTAGTATTGGTCAGTCAAAATAAAAAATTGTTTATATATATATATATATTTGATGACAAGCACACCGTGTACGGGTACGAAAACCAAAAATAAAATTATACAGGAAAATATTGTTGTCGGCTACTGGTGATCGGAGAGAGGTGAATGCGTTACGACAGTCTAGTCACAAGGCTATAGACGACGGGATACGCGAGAATAATAACATGTGGGGCGTGGAGATTTACAAACAACAAACACACAACATACATGTGAAACTAAATAAGCGTGTTAAAAATGATCCACGCTAGACCATCATCTACACGTTAGAGGTTGTTGGGGCCAGGGTCACTAAATAATATAGTGCGTACGCGACCCGACTAATTGCACTAATACCGATCAGGCTGCATAGTGTGATGTATGTAATTAGAATCATTGGAGGGGGAGTGTTGTTCGCCTGCGCAACAACCAATGATCTATGTGGTGAAAGATATGTTAGTGTGTAGTTATTTTGAGAATAAGGACTTAATAAAAAAATAAATAAATGAACAAGATTAATATAGAATAGTTGATAATATTTTCAGAATAGTAATAACAAATGATGTTATAGTCTATAAATGTAGCGTGGGCCAGATAAAAATGGCTCGCGGGCCGGATAATAATAATATATTAGTCTATAATATAGACCAATAGTTAACAAGAAATACAAACCGCTAGAACAGAATAATTGCAATAAAACAATATCGTTTGATTCTTTAGATTTGTGTATAAATTACAATAATGAATTGAAATTTATAATCCTTGTGATCAAGTACTAATAGAAATAAAGGTCTTTATTGTGACAATAATCTTTAAATTGATACTCAAGTTAATAATAAATTTAAAATTCATCAATAAAAAATATATCTCTAATATTCGAGCAAAAAACAAAGATTATGTTTACCAAAACTCAATAAATTATCACTAAAACTGAAACACAAACAACAAAATGATACAATTAATACAATGTAAATCAGTACTCACGTAATAATATTGTAGTGACGCTGGCCAACGACACACTATTTTCTATGATAAGTAAAATATTTTGGATACGTTATAATATAACAATTCAAAATTTCATACAATTTACAATAGATAACAATAAAAAATGATGTATCACAATTGAGTAGGATTAATGCTGATGTATCCGTTAAATATCACAGAAAAACGTTACAACTAATTAGTACCTATAAAGTAGATAGTTATTGCAATTAGTACAAAACAAAAAACTATTCACAATGAAAAATGTGCTAGGTAAAACAAAACCCTTTTACAAAAAATATAGGCAATTGTAATTTACACGCTTATATTAGTTTCACCTATATGTATGTATGTATGTTTGTAACTCTCCAAGCACCACGCGTTATCGCATATTCCGTCGTCTATGGCCTTGAGACTAGACTGTCATAACGCATTCACCCCACCCACGCTTCTCTCATCACACGACGACAACACTATTCCTATTTAAATTTATTTTTGGTTATCGTACCCGTACACGCATGCTTGTCATCAATATTATATATATATATAAACAAATTTTTATTTTGACTGACCAATACCATCCACGTGTCATACGGCTTACGTATATATTCCTACCGCCATTTATACTTCAGGTATAACGTTAGTCCGCCCACAAAACACGGATACACCTAGTGCATGATACGTTTACGTACGTTGTATTGTAGAGTAGTCAGAATAATAAATATAGTTTAAAAAACTAAAAAAACACGCTTTTAAAGCACATCGAACTAAAAAGTTAAAAATAAGTTATAACATAAGCTTAATGTAATTATGAACAAAAAATACTAGTATTATTGTGATAAAAGCATGGGTGCTTTGTGCCATATTTTTCGTATATTGAGCGCCTCGTGTTTTTATCACAATAATACTAGTATTTTTTGTTCATGATTATTTTAAGCTTATTTTATAAATTATTTTTAACTTTTTAGTTCGATGTGATTTAAAAGCGTGTTTTTTTAGTTTTTTTTAACTATATTTATTATTCTTACTACTCTACAATACAACATTTGTGGTTATGTGCGTGTGTGGTATGTGACAGCTGATCGGCCGGTTGTAGTGATTTTCACTTCAACGTGCGTAGTAGGGAGTAGATGCGTGACAAGGATTTGACCGGTCCGGGTACACTGAATGCGCGCATGCATTACACTATTATGTTGCGGCTGCAACAAAGGTATATAAACAAGCAAGGGCGTACGTAGAAATTTTTAGTGGTAACAAAATATATTTACATATATTTGATTTTACTGTATGCTCAACGGATCCTCCAACGTTGAAGGAGGTAAACGAGGTCTTATCCGCACTTTTTTGGAGTTCTTGCTGTTGGCGCAACAAGAATGAGTTTAGCCCATTAAGTTACCGAATAGCTCCCCGAAAATTTTTTAAAAAATGTATATTGTAATATACGTGTATAGTTTTTTAAAGAAAGCAGAAAATACAATTAGCATCCTCATAAATGTTTTAAAAGGTGCCTATAGATAAACCTCGCCGAAAAAAAATTAATGTTAAAAAAATGTCTTTTGCTAGTTTTATGTATCACTTAAAAAATGAAGTATCTTTATGAATTTAATAAATAAAAACCAAACCTATACGCCATTAATTTATAAAAAAACAATACTTTTGGCATTCATAATACAATTAAATAAAAATTGAGATCTTATCTTTTAGTTAAGAAAAATTTCATTATACAACAATTATAAAAATTGATCGAGTATAGAATCAAGGAGAGGTTACTGCCACCTTTGCCTTCCTCTGAAAATTTTTAATTCTGTATAAAATGCATATATTTGTTCAATCGTCACTAATGAATAACAACATTTTTCTTTTCAGGTTCAACTGATAATTAATTTTATATAAATAAATATATGAAATGATTCAATTATATTTTAAAATCATTGATGTAATATTTATTTAAAAATATCTATTAAAAGTATAATTGATATAACCCAAGTGAGAAATATGTGGAAGTTTCTGCCAAAATCTGTATTTTTCTACTAACGGATTTTTTATAATTTTTGGTCGAGAAGAATTTATCAGTAAAATTAAAGAGTCTTCCATGGTTGTAAACTTTGGCCAAGACTTTCCATTTGATTGACCATCAATAGTAGGTATACTGAAAAAAAAAAGTTAAATATACCATTAAAGTTTTATTAACTATAACGTGACTCGCATCCATACTCAGTTGAAGCAAATCTTGTCCAAATATTGATCATAGTTTTAGAAACTTTAGTGTCATCATCATTTAAAGTTCGATTTTTATAAAATGATGTTCGAAACAAAAGTGTAACTTCATCTTCATGAGTAACTCCCAGATATTTTTTACATGGACCAAATTGCGTATTAAACGAAAATTCATTTTGATGATCAAATAAATAAAAATAAACTGAAGAATTTAATTTAGCAACCATGTCCATAACACCATATAAAATTACTCCATCTCCAAACAGCTGCAATTTTAAAATAAATTAAATACATTTATATTATATTATTCATTAATTTAATGAGTATACACATAAAACTATTTGGATAGTTTGAATCCATAATGATACAACATATAGACGACATGAGACATTTTAATACACGTGAATGGAGGTCTTGGAGAGCCTCTTCAATTAACATTTTTGTTTAAATGATATAATAAGTAAAGAAAAATATATAATTGCTTATCTTTCCGAAAATTAAGCATGTAAAATTGAGATGTTCTCCGCGAGAGACATGCACTTATCATGAAAAACTTAATTTACTCAAAGAAAAAAAATTGGGAAATTGTTATGAGAATAATAAAATAACGTAAATAGCATTTCATATTCAAGATTATTATACAAAACTTATTACTTGCACTGCTTCTAAAAGTGATTGATTATTTATTCCTTTTGGAAAATATTTATATAATAATTGTTTTCCAATATTATCTATGTCTTCTGAAAGAGCAATATTTTCATACATTAACATAATAGATATCACTCGGTTAAAATCTGTAATAAATTCTGGATACGATAACTCCGTGTCATTACACAAATCTGTAATATACATAAGTTACCATTATTTTATTTTGTTTAAATAATAAATAAAAAACAATTATACTTGCGATTCCAACACCACCTTCAGCAGAATTTAACCCCATTATAACAGGCACTTGAGTTACGGGTTTAAATTCCACTAATGGATTAATACATATGAAAGCATTTGGGCCACAATTTTCGACAGTGGGAGGAAATGCTACCTCAGGATTATTAACAAACTCCTGGAAAGATTATCAAGTTAAATTAAACTGTTCGGATAACCTACAAACCAAGATAAAAATAAATATATTTAATAACCATTATTTACTTTCTACAGTTTTTTAATTTACAAAACTAAATAGTGACATTTTTACCCAAACTGGTTTTCAGATACTCATGTCTCATTTCTTATTCTCTTATTTATTACCTTTTCTCAAATGTTCATTCTATGACTCATGAGCTTTTTGCCTTTATAATTTCCACACTCTTGTATGTCACCTTTACCTTTAAATATCGGCACCACAATACTATTCCTCCATTCATTTGGAATTTTCCCTTCTAATAAGATTTTGTTTAAATGTTCCTTCAACCATCTTATGCCAACACCACTTAGTATTTTCCATACTTCTTGTGGCACTTTATCTAGTCCTACTGCTTTATTATTTTTCATTGATGCCACAGTCTCCCATACCTCTTTCTCACTAATTAAATCTACCAGTTCCTCATTCCACGAGATATCCTCTAATATCTATTTTGGACACTCTTCATTCAGTAATTTTTCAAAATACTCTTTTAACATCATCACTTAATAGCATCCTTTTATCAACATTTTTTATACACCTTACATAGTAATACTCTTTAGACATTTTTACTCTTACTTTTGCAAGTCTATAAATTTCTTTCTTGCCATTCTTAATTCCTTGCCTATCATACAACTCATTATACATCTTAAACTTCGCCTTATTTACTGCACACTTGGTTTCTTTGTACAAGCGTTTATATTCCATCCACTCTTCTCTCCTTTTGCTCTTCTGCCATACTTTGAATTGTTTTTTTCTTACTCTCTATGAATTTTTGAATGTCCTCATCCCACCACCAGTTTTCCTTGTTTCTAGGTATTTTTCTCCCACTCCCATCAATAATCTCCTATGCAGTATTCTTTATACAACTATCAAATCTATTCCACATCGTACTTTCCTTAATCTCTTTACTAACTCTCTCTCAATTTCCACCACCGGATCTTTGATTTTCCTCCTGTGTCCTTTCTGGATTTTGTATATTCTCTTTCCGATACACCAAAATTACCAATAGCCTGTTCTTTAAATAGAGTTTCTTCCACACATTTCAACATTCTTTGCAATTCCTCTTCGTTTTCTGCTATTACTACTATATCGTCTACGAGCTGTAGCATATTAAATTTCTTGCCATTTATCTTTATAACCAAATGCATTTATTCTCTTATTATGTGAATTATCTCTCGGATGTATGCATCGAATATCCCAAGTTGGAGAGTACAATCCTGCCATACTTCTGTTCTTATACATGCTTCCTATTCAATTTCACTAAATCATATAGTTTAACAGTATAGTTTAATAAGTAGTCTCTAATTTTCATCCACACCTCTATCAATGCATTTTTTGTCATTTTTCATTTGATTTTTAAGTTTCATGTATTTCAGCTTATGTTCAAGTGTAGTTCAATTCTTAAACTCTTACTATCTCTGATTTTATCCATCCTTTCCTAGGTATTATAGCTTTAATTTCTTTGATGCTGCTTATGTCATTGTGCTCTTTATAATAACAACTTATTATTTATATTTGTTATCTCATTTATATTTATTTTGTTTATAATTTCTTTAAATTTATCATTTGCTTTTTCTTCCTTTTATTTGTTTATATGCCATCGATCTTTTATTTTCCTTGATACAATTTTCTTGAACTTAAGGTTACTTTTCATTATTAATAGATTATAGTCGCTATCTATATCTGCTCCTGAATAGCTTCAGCAGTCTTTTACTTAGTTTCTAAATCTCTTCTTGATCATAATATAATATATTTGACATCTACCTATATGTATTTTCCATGTATACTTTTTTTTTGTTGAGATGATTGAAATAGGTATTTGTTATTAATAATTCATCTTTTAAACAGAAATATATTAATATGTCTCTCCTTTCATTTCGGTTTCCTAGACCATTAATTCTCACTATGTTCCCTAGGCTTTCTTGTCTCACTACAATGTTCCAATTACCCATAACGAAGAGATTTGCATCTTCTTTTACTTCTTCAATTTCCCTCTCACTAATATTAGAAGTAGTCATGTAGAGTTGGACTGTGATTATATCCTTAAGTTTAGTCCTAAATATTATTCTTTCATTGTACCGCACAAAATATTTTTTCCAATAGCCTTAGTCATTATTATATATACCATCCTCCCCATATCTTGAGTTATTTTTCGCTGTTCATGTACAGAGTGATTTTTTTATCATAACCCACTCAATTACTTACAGAATAAATATATTTAAACATTTCTTTTTTTTTTGGTTATCTTTAGTTACACATTATTCTTGAATTATTAACTATATAATACTTTTTAAGTTCATCCCTTATGCCTTATAACGGTGTCAACTTATTTTTTTAAATGTAAACACATATTTTTAATTTAATAAAATGTTTGAGTTTTTAATTTAATAGTAAATGGCATTTGAATTTTTAATATAACTTTATTCGTTTATTAGATATAAACATTTTAAGTTTTTAATTTTTTTATTTTTAAGTTAATATACATGTATAATACACAAGGTATTACAAATACAGGTAGCTAATTGGTTTTCTATGACATCAATATTCGCAGGTACACGCATTGTTATTATCAATGGTAGTAAGGCACATTGTTGTGAGTTCATAAATATACTATCTGACTATATAAAAAGTACATCTATTGATAGTCATAATTGATAATAAACAATCCATCACAATGACAGCGATGTCATAAAAACCATTTAGCTACCTGTATTTGTAACACCTTGTGTATTATACATATATATTAATTAAAAAATTTAAAACTTTAAATGTTTATATCTAATAAACGAATAAAATTATATTAAAAATTCAAATGCCATTTATTATTAAATAAAAAATATGTGTTTACATTTAAAAAACAAAGTTAACATCCTTACAAGCTATAAGGGATGAATTTAAAAAGTGTTACTTAGTTAATAATTCAAGAATAATGTGTAACTAATAGATAACCAATTAAAAAAATGTTTAAATATATTTATTCTGTAAGTAATGGAGTGGGTTATGATAAAAAAATCACTCTGTATATATCAATATATAATCTCCACTTCATAAATCCCCAGCTCTTGTCCATCTCATTTTTTACAAGCCAAAGATATCAGTCTTCATTCTTGCCATACTTATTTTCATGTTTTCTAGTTTCCCATAATACATCATAGTTCTAATATTCCAAGAAGCTATTCTTCTCTATTTCTTAACATCTCTAGAAGTTCCCACCTGGAGATCCGAACCGGGACTATTTTACCTCCGAAATGTTTCATTTGAGAAAATTTCATGTTATTACTATTTCTCGGATGATTTATACGGTGGTCTCTCCTTGCCTTCCGTATCTCACAGCAGCCACTAGTATACAGTTTCCTTATTTACTAGCTGCTGTTTAGTGTGTAGCTGTTTCTACCATTATAGGTTACCTACACTTACACTCAAATTTGTAGTAGCTGCTGCCCTACTACAAGTTTCTTTTAGTCGCTTCTTACGACAGGAAGAAACACTGATAGTCTATTCTAACCCTGACCAACAGAAGAATAGATAAAATTAATAAACCTAAATTAATTAAGAGCTTAAAATATGTTAAATTGCACATATGTATTGTTTTTTAGAAAAGATACAAAAAAATAATTTTAAAATTAAATTACTTCAAATTATAATTTTTAACTGTATAACAATGATACTTACATAAAACTTAGAATACTGTGTTACCAAATTACTGGCATTAATTGATCTTAGACATTTTAGCATATCGTTTGATATATCGCTATTACATCCAACTAAGTTTGCGACTTTTTTAGCACGTTGACGTGCTATTCCGGGAGCAGAAACTGACCAAGGGACTAATGGAGCACCACTTTCTAAAATTGCTTTATGAAATAATCCTTTACTTAAAGGTGATAGAAAATGATATCCTGTACTGACACTCCCAGCACTTTGTCCAAAAATGGTGACACGATTTGGATCACCACCAAATTGCTCAATATTTTCCTTGACCCAACGCAAGGCTAACACCTGATCTTTTAATCCAAAATTACCAGGTATGACATCATCTTCAGTACTAATGAAACCTTAAAATATTATCATCCATAAATTATAATGATTTTAAAACAATATAGTTTAAGTATAAATATTATAATATACCTAGTATACCAAGTCTGTAATTAGCTGTTACTAAAACTATATCTTTGTCCATAAAAAAATCAGAGCCATACATAGCAGGACCACTCTGACCAAAAGTAAATGATCCACCGTGAATCCAAAACATTACCGGTAATTTTTGAACAAATGTTGGTGTGTAAACGTTGAGATAAAGACAATCTTCATCGCCCTCAGTGAAATTTAAAGCTGTATTGAATTTACTAGCTGGTTGCAAACAAACTTTTGTTGGTTGAGAAGCATCTAATGTCGTTTTCCATGGATTTGCAGGTTCTGGTGACTAATTAAAATTTTTTGAACCATATTTAGAAATCTTATAACGGGTAGATTTGCTAATTAAAACTAATAATACAAATAATAATAATTCCAATACTTTAAAACGAAGTTCACCAATAGGAGGTTTTGCAAACGGAATGCCTGTAAACGAATAATAATATCGATTCGTTCTTGATCTCAAAACTTGTCCATTAATTGGCCCACTCTTAGAAAAAATTAAAGGATAACAATATCCATTTTTAAACAGTACTAAAGCAATTATACAATGTAATAACTTCATTTTTTTTCTAGAAAAAAAATAATAATTTTAGTATTTCCAAAAAAGTTTAATATTTTCATTTAAACTTTCAGTTTCCATACCCATTGCAATGATACATTTTTTATTATTACTTAATTTAATGAAATGTTGAGTTATATAACTATAGAATTATACAATTTTAGCTTCAATGCGAAGCTGAAAAAGTATTAATTTTACCATGATGTATTTATTTATTTATTTATTTTTTGTATGCCTGTCACTACTTTTTCTCAGCTCTCACTAGACTGATTTTTCTAAACTTTACATCAAAAGATCACAAATCATGTCTAATTGAAAAAATTACCCTCAAAAATTGAAACATTTTCTCTCGTTTTCCGTAAATGTTAAAAATCTCCTAAAAATTTACAATTTTTAAAATCGGTAGATTTCGACATTTTTTTTTTAATTACCATAACTTTATTAAAAATTAACAAATCAGAATAATTGTTTTTTATATTGAAATCTTAGATATTTCTTTTTCATTTGATATAAATGGTTGCTGCAACGGTGTTAGATGCAGTCTATTGTGTTCGGGAACGAGATTCGAACCCCACCCGTCAAAATCCCCTTTTTTTATTTTTTCTTCGTTCTATTAAATAGGAGTTAATTATGATTTTGGAACAATCCAATAATTTCTTAAAATTAAACACTATCTACAGATTTGCATCGAAGCGTTTCGTATGATAGTGATTATAATCACTGTCAGATATCATCTATACTTGTCCCAATTATGTCACGTCCATACTGTGCCACGACCTCACTGAGCTACCGTTTTTTCATGATGACATGAAATATTATTCTCTAAATAAATGTTTAAAGTTTTATTGATTACATTCATTTTGCATGTTTAATACATAAAGTAACACTCTATGGTTTTAGGGTTGCTACTATTATTATGACAATGTTAATGCCACAAGTAAACATTACTACGAATATTATCACTTACTCACTATTACGTAAATAAAAATATATATCATTAGGTTGTTATGACAATTCAATACCACCAATATACATTTACATTGATATTATTACTCTAAATCACCATTTTAAAAATTATTTATTATTATGTCATTATGTCATATTATGTCATATTTATTATTATATGTTATTATTATTATTTATTATTATAATTTATATTATTATGTCGATTCTCCTAATACATCAACAGTCAGGCAACCCAATGTTCCTGAATACTTTCAATTACATTACACTATTATCCTTAATATACTTCTGCTTCTGGCAATAATAACATAGACAATTTTCACCTAGTCAAACTCGGAAAAACTTTCTCCAAACTATTTATTATTCTTAGCCTCAACCCTATCGATTTTAAGCATGTTAAAATCACGTTTGATTCGGTCAATAACACCAACTATTACCCCACTTCTCCTTCTTTTACTGAATACGGTTACTTTTCCAATAGTTCTAGCACTTCACTTTTAGTATTGGAATCATCCGGCTAGACAAAAGTATCTTTGAGACTTTTTGGAAGGTCAGGCAAGAATGTTTCATTTAGACATATTAATATAAAAAAAGATAACAACCTTGTTTCCTTAAATTTAATTGAACTTAAATTTTTGTCAGCAACACTTCCTTTAAAATTATCAATATATAATGTTATTTTCGACGTTCCTCCAAAGTCTTGAGGTCACAGATTGATCTTGAAGCGAGTTGTCTGTGCAAAAGGACATTAAAAAAACAATGTCTCATTTTCTGAAGCGTTCTCAATCAAACCAGTTCCAGTTTAGTTAATATAGCATTTACCTTTTCTGAATTTATAAATATACCTAGTGTTGAAGTCGTAACTTCTTCTTCCTTTCCTTTTCTTAGTCATTCTGCCAATTTATATACAAAAAAATATAATAAGAAAAAATTTAATAAAACTCAAGTTTCCTTCATATCAAGAATGATTATCCTAGGCCCATTTCACCTAATGACAGTTTTTTGAAATATATATCCCAAAATCGTAATATTAATTCGCAACTGGATTTCATACTTATCGCTCAGCTACATGCGCGCGATCCTAAATTAATTTTGTCTCCCTTTTAATACGTCAATCAACTATCGAATCTTGATTAACTAATATCCACTACTCTTTTTCTGGAAATGACGACACATGTTTTAGCAGTAATTCTAACTATCATTCTTTCAATATTCTTCAATGGAACATAAGAAGTTTATCTCCTAGAATGTACAATCTTCTTTTTGTCTCTCTAATAAGAAATGATTTTTGCCTCCTTTCTGAAATTTAGCTCCTTACAAACAATCGTATTTCTCTTCCACAGTTCAACATTAGTTATTCTGATCGTATCGACAATATTAGCGGTATGGCTATCGTCTCCCATCATAGTATCCACTTATACTCTATTTCTATTAATCTATTTCATTTAGTCTAATTACATTCCTCCCTCTTCTAATACTCCTTCTATACTTATTGAGAACATTTTTTCTTTAGTTTCTTGTAATTTTATTATAGGCGGTAACTTTAATAGTCACCACCCCTCCTGGGGTGTACTAATCTCTTATCATCGTGGTAACATTGTAACGTCTGCAATTTCTGCCTATAATTTTTGCATACTCAAAACAGGGTTACTTACTCACATTACACGCCTTTCCCAAATAGATTCGGCGATTGGCTTTACCATTACATTTCCCTCTTTCTCATGATCGTTGTCATGGTCTGTCCTAAACTGCATTTATGGTAGTGATTATTTTCTCATTATTATCTCCCACACAAATCCTCTCACTCCCTCACCTTCCTTTTCATCTATCACAACTATCAGATTCAATTATTCGAAAGCTGATTGGGAATCTCTTCAAAATTACATTTTCACCTCTAATTTCTCTCCCATTGAGGACTACAACTGATTTGTATCTACAATTATTGGAACCACTAAATTGTGCGTTCCTTTAATTAAAAAAATCAAAAAGTACTTTCCCTCCTCACCAATATGGTGGTCTCCCTCCTGCACCTACACTATCAATGAGTGCACTAAATCTTTTAAAAAATATACATCCTCTGATCTATTGAGCGACATTTTTAAAAAACGAAGGATGCGCGTCTTTGTTCAAAAAATACTTAAACAAACAAAAATTATGTCCTGGATTTCTTTCTGTTCCTCACTTAATCCTTCATGTAGCCTGTTTAATACCTAGGCTATTACCAAAACATTTAAAGCTGTCTATATCAAACTTCTCACTCTTTAAACGAATCAAAGTTTGATCCATTTTATAATAAGGTTGCTCGCCCCTAAGTCCTGTCCTCAGAACACTTCTCTTCCATCCTTGATTCCAACCTAAGTTCTGAGGCGTTGTGCCTGACTGTTGACGTTATTTTAATGTCATACATGTTCCTAAATCTAACTTAGCATCCGTCGCATTTCATTCAATTTTTCTTCCCTCTGATCTCTGTAAAGTAGTCGAACATAAAATCAAGAAACGCCTTAATTAGTTTTTTGAAAAAAATAACTGTCTTTTCCCTAACTTATACGAGTTTCGAATAAATCATGGCACCATGAAGTATTTATCTGCTCTCACAGACTGTATTTACAAAGCACTTTGTGATAAGTCCTATGTCTTGCTGCCTATGTCTACATCAAAAGAGCTTTGGAATCTGTGCGCATTCCTACCATAATTTTTCTTTTACGACTCTTGTCACATCGTTTCCTCACGTTATCCTAACCTTCCGGTTTAATATTAAATCACACCTCCTACCATGGCTTTCCACAGGGCATCTGCCATAATCCTCTACATTTTAATATTTACATGTTAAAAATAAGTCTCTACATCATCGGAGAAATTATAAAAAATTATTAACTATATATTACATTTATGAAAAATATGCATAAAAGTTTAAGGGATTGATGCAATACTTTTCAAAAAAAAATTGTTTGTTACTTATAAATAAATTTATTGGTCTACAAATAATTTTCATCAGAGATCATAATATACTTTTTTAAGGCCATTTTTGCGCCGATTTCAAATCTGCAATTAAAATTTCGCATATTGACAAAATAATATCAAAATCCTTCTAATTTATATAACAAATATTTATGTTTGATTATTAAGTTATATATGAACAATCAATAAATATATTTTAATTAAAAAAATACGTAACAAGTAGAATGTATTATGCGCAGTATATCAATATAAATAATTATTTAAACACCAAAAGTTCCATAGAAATGCTTACTAAGACTTCTTTAATCATTTAAATTATTTATTACAATAAAACGTTTTTATCGAAATTTTGACCTTTCCTTATAAATTTACTGTTAATAGTAATTATATAAGTTTTTGATCACTTATCAGTCTAAAAAATATATTATTTTATTCCACATAAAATTTTCTATATTATGATATAAATTCTAAACTTGAAAGTTGAGCTAAAATTGTGTTTAAAAGTTCAACATTTTTTAATTATAAACTTTTATAAAAATCAACTTTAAAATATCAAAAATATTATTTGGAATTGAAATTTTGCACGGATTATTTTTAACATATTAAAATTCATAATCACTTGATAAAAAAAAATTTCTTTATTAATTTTTTCATGTGTTTATAATTAGTAATAATCTCAAAAAATAGTCGATAGAAAAAAACTTAATTTCATACTTGAAATCAGCGTAAAAATTTGGTTAAGTAAAGTATATATTCGTCTATAAACATTTAAAAATATTTTATTTTACTAATTTGAATTTATTGTGTAATTCAGTACAAAACTAATTTTATAATTCTATTAATTTGGAGATATTTAATTAAAAAAGGTTTTTTGAAGTGTCATTTTTTATAATAGTGTAATTTTGAGATATTTGTCTGATTTTCTAAAATTAAAGGATTTTTTCCAATATTTGGGAATTATAAGTTCAACAAGATTAAAATCGTGTTCTTTTAATGTATTGGTAAAGTGAGAGCTGAGAAAAATGAATGACAGACACATAAGTAAAATAAATAATATATTTTAATATGAATAAGAAAATCCTTCTCATAAGGGGAGACTAAATTAATAGGATCCTCGATATTCATTGAATATTTTGATTGAATGTTATTTATTATTATACAATTTGAATTTTTTTCCACCTCAAAAAAAAAAATTAAGAAAAAAATGTAGAAAAAGACTGATTTTTAAAATTGTATTTTTTTTTGAGATTTCCCCATTTACCGTAAATAGGAAAATGTTTTCAATTTTTAAGGGCAATGTCTTCAACTAAATATGATTTGTGATCTTTTGACGTATCATTGAAAGAAATAGGTTCATTGACAGCTGAGAAAAAGTGGTAACAGACAAAAAAAGTGTCAAAGCTAATAACCATTTTGATATTATGAAATCATACAAAAGAATTCTTAGGAACTGAAAAAACTATCAAAATTTAAAATAAGCTCTCTTTGATAGGCTAAGATGTAAACATTAGAAACAAGTACTTCTTGAAAAGATCACATTAAATGTACCCAGAATGACTAATTTATTTTTTATTTTTTCCCCTTCTTCCATTCTTTCAAATAAAAATTTTAATTTAATAATCTTTTAATTTGTACATTAAAAGCTCTATTAACAATAAATTTAAAAACACATCATAGTAAAATTAATACCTTCTCAGCTTCGCATCGAAGCTAAAAATAATGTTTAATATATCTTTATTTTAGNTTGAATATTTTGATTGAATGTTATTTATTATTATACAATTTGAATTTTTTTCCACCTCAAAAAAAAAAATTAAGAAAAAAATGTAGAAAAAGACTGATTTTTAAAATTGTATTTTTTTTTGAGATTTCCCCATTTACCGTAAATAGGAAAATGTTTTCAATTTTTAAGGGCAATGTCTTCAACTAAATATGATTTGTGATCTTTTGACGTATCATTGAAAGAAATAGGTTCATTGACAGCTGAGAAAAAGTGGTAACAGACAAAAAAAGTGTCAAAGCTAATTGATTAAATCATGTGACTGAAAATGTTTTCAGTTTTTTCTCACTGTTGAAAATTTTTTTTAAAAATATAAGTCTCTTATTTTATAAATAAATAAAAATTTGTTGGAAAAATTATAACTACTTTTTCATTTTCTAATTGCCATATTCTTAAAACAATGATGATTAATTTTTATATTATTTTAAGTGTAAAATAAAGAAAGTTATTTTGCAAAGAGAAAAGCTGTAAAGATTCAAATATTAATATTATTACAATTCTGTATTATAGCATTATTAATAATAAGTATTATAATATGATATGCTTATTATTACTTACTGTTAGATATTACTAGCATGTAATACAATACATATAATAAAATACGGAAGAATTTAGACGTAACATGGCTACTACCAAATCAGATGGGCACACTCTCATGTGATGCTCTCTACATATCTAAATAACAACAACAAATCATAGTTAGTATTTATTTATGGGAAACAGCTATTTTACCCGAAAATTGGACATTGAGCCATTGAAAGTTTATAGATAATCTATAAGCCTTGCCTTGATGTTATAATAGTATAATTAAATCTATTAAATTTTTAACTTTAATGTATCTTTTCAAATATGAAACGATAAATAAAGAAAAAATTGTTAACTATGTAAATTTATCAAATAATTTATAAAAATGTCTTTATCATAAACTAGAATATCATTATTTAATATTTGTTGTTTTTAAAAAGATTTAATTTTTAATACATTCTGATTACGCCACTAATATAGTATTATTTGAATTAATTGAAATTTGACTTTAGAAAAACAAAACCGTCTAAAATGTATTATTTAAATGAAGAAAAAGAAATAAAAATTATATAAATCAACCGTATGAGTTGTATAAAATTTTATAATTTTGTTCATTTTTAAACTCATAATTATTTCGGATATCCAGAATAATGAACATTAAAATTCAATTGTCCATTTTCAAAATATTGTTTTGAACTATAAAAACAATCAGCAAAATTCTCTGGATCGATATAGAATTTTTCTCTATCTTAATCAAATATTATTTTTTAAATGATAAAAACTACGTAAAATAACTAAAGATCTTCCACAATTATTTATTTTTACCCACCCGATATTGGTAATAATGGCTTAAAGCACTTTAGTTCCAAATTGTTTGCATCATGATATTTTAACTTTTATGCCGCATAAAATATACACGTTAAAAACTTAAAAAGGTTTCAATTTATCTTCCTATTGTAAATATATTAAAGCCTTAAAAATTTATTTTTAATAATTGATGTGAAGCTGAAAAAATTCTTAAATTTTCCCAAAAATTAAAAAAACAATTTTCTACTTTTAAAAATGTTCTGAGAAACTACCCATTAAAGCAAATTTAAAATTTAAAGTTATAATAATATTGACCTGTTGTAAACATTTAAACACTATTAAAAATGTTCATAAATATTAATATTTTTTAATACGGTGTGGACCGTCTTAAAATAGTTAAAAAATTTAACTAAATTTGAATTATTTAGTATGTGTTGGTTTTGAATAATACAAGTGTAATATGTTTTACTAAAAATACGAATTAAATAAATAATATTTATTATCTTTTACTATAAATCTTCCCTTATTAAATAATGAATAAAAATTTAAAAAATGAAATTGAGTTTAGTAAATATTTTATTTTGTAATTTATATGCGTAATTAAAAGTATTTATTATTAAGTTGTTGCCGTGATAAGTCATTACCATGAACATACATTTGATTTTATATTATTACTCTGAATCATCATAATAATGAGAGTAATTGTAATGAAATTATTTTATCATACAAGTTATTGATTGAAATAACTATTATTTATACTAGTTACTAAATTTCTTGTATAGAATTTTTATTAAATTATTATTACACATTATTTTTACTATTCTTTACAATAACTTTAATGTAACAAGAACATTTTAATGACCATAAGAATAGAATATGTGCTACCGTGACGTAGTCGGAGCGGCTGATGAGCTCTCCTGAAATTCAAGGTTATATTAGGGGATAATCAAACAATTTTTATAATATTAATGGTTTTTGAAGAATGAACGTAAATTATTTTTATAATAATAATACTGTATTTAACTGTAAATAAATAAATCAAAGCTCTCTTCGAATAAATTAAAATACAGAAATGTACGCCGTTTCATAGGTATAATAATCCTATTCGTTATCATATAATGGCAATTTTATCTTTTTCATGAAATTCTTATAATTTAATGAAGCTCTGCAGTCAATTATATTTAAAGTTAGTTTAATTACTACTAATACAAAATAATACATTTTGTTGATAATACATTTTTTTTTCAGTTGTTGCTAATACAAATTAAAATTTCTTTTTAAAACTAGTTAGGTATTTCACTACTAACTATTATTTATCATTTAGTTATCATTTTTTTAATTTTAGTCTAATATAAACTTTAGTCTCATTATAATTCACAAGCTACGTTTAAAAAGGTTATTCAATATACAAATTACATTTAAAGATACAATTATATATTTTAGTATATTTGTAAGACTATTTACAATTATTAATGAGGTACAATGTTATGTCAAGTTTACACAATTTTTTTTATAATGTAGGTATTATTACACCCGACTTATTATGATACTAATTAATAAATTTGCATATCTATATCTAAACACAAATGATTAAAAATTGTTATTAAACAACCAATGGAAATATTTTTGTGGTGTTTAAAATAAAATTAAAAATAAATTAATATACAATTAGTTCAACCAGAGGTGGAACTATGGAATGTAGGAGTACCCCCCCTAAAAATTCATTTTTAAATAAATAATTTAATAATTGTATTTAGGATATTTTAAGACTGTTTTTCAAAAATTTTTTTGGTTAAAAATAATTTTTTGACATTTATCACATTGTATCAAATTTTATATTTTCTTTAAATAAAGTTTGAGTTAATATTTCAAAACATTTTTTTAATTCATTATAGTTCAACTTTATTAGATCCTTTATTGAAATCAGTATTTTTTCGAGCTATAAATTTATGTAATCTTGATAAGATGGGAAGATTATTCCAAAATTGATATTTCTCATTAAATGAATTTTTCTTGATTTGAGGCTTACTTGAATTAATATAGAGAAGCTGAAAATTTTCAACAGATGTATATGCAGGCCATAATTGTCCATTTATCAATCCATTTATTGTAGGAGGCCTAAAAGCGTGTTAAAAATATTACACTTAATAATGAAAAAATTAATTTTTAATCATTTTTACTTACTCAGAAGAAGTGGCAAAGTTTGACCAAAGATTGATCATAAACCTAGAAAATTCTTTATTCTCCTCATTCAAGTCTCGACCAAAAAGATCTTTATAGTTAAACAATTTGATAAGTTCATCTCCATGACTAACACCTAATGGTTTTTCACAATTTCCATAAAATTTATTTAAAGTAAATTCACTGGAATAGTCATATAGATAAAAATACACCGGAGAAGTCAATTTTTCAGACATGTCTATAGCACAATAAAGAAAGCTTCCATCTCCAAACAACTACAAAATAATTTTAAAAATGTTATATATATCATACACATAAATTAGAATAAACATTGTAATAATTTTAAATTAATAAATGTATTACATCTGATAAATTGGCGTGCATATGATCTTCAATTTTTCTCGCTGGAATATATTTGTCCATTAGTCTTTCATTAATGTGTATTATATCTTCTGACATTGCAAATCGATTATAAATCATAATTTTTGGTATTATACGATGAAAATCAGTTATTAATTCAGGTTCCAACAAAGATGTTTTATTGAAAAACCCTAAATATATCATATTTTTAATTGTATTATTCTTTTAATTTTATCTATAATGAATAATATCTAATTTTTTTTTTGCCTACAAAATATGTCATAATTTTTATTGACAAAAATTATATTCTACATTTTTTTCAGATATTTACCATAAACATCTTACAATAATGTAAGAAAGGAATATTTTGATGACATCAAAAGCAAATATTTAATACTGAAAGTCTATTGTAGAGAATGTGTTAATACTTATGTTCTACATTAGAATTTAATTAAACGAGAATTTATTTATAAAAATTAAATGTATAACTATATAAATGACTTTAAATTTTATTACAAAAAATAAATAAATTGCAAAAAGTTTTTTTTCACTTAAAAAAATATTGGGTTTAATTGTGTTTATTTTTGCACTTGTATATTTATATTAAAGTATCTACAGTTATCCCATTATAATCTCAATTCTTCTATTTCTTAGATATTTCAAGATTTGATTAAATAATGTTTTTATGTTTCACACTGTTGTTGAAATATTATTGGGAACTTATAATTTGCCCACTATATTCAGATAACGTCACCCAGCAAATTAGTGTTTTATAGGTTGTACTTACTCGAAACAAATAAACCTCCCTCGGCAGAATTGATGCCAATTATAGCTGGTACATGTGATTCTTGTTTGAACTCAATTAGAGGATGGTGACAAAGGAAACCTTTATTATCGATATCACATTTTTCAACAACTGGTGAAAATAGAATAATTGGATGCGTCTTCCACTCCTAAAAAAATATTTCTAAATTAATTTTCAGTGTCAAAATTTCAAGAAAAAGTAAAATTTCAATAAATACACAATTAACACATAGTTTAATATAATCATTAAATTTATTTCTTTATCATTTTAAATTGTCAAGATATCTAATATTTGTTGAATCAATTTTTGAACTAAAAAAATGAATTTTGGTATACTAATTAGTGGGTAATTAGTTAAATAATTAATTACATAAACCATTAATACTTAATCTATATTATAAAAAAAACAACATTTTTACATTATTAAAAAGCTTCAAAATTAATTAAATCACTACTGATTTAATTTAAATTTTAAATTATTTTGGGTTTAAAAAATGTGAGCAAAAAAAAAGAAAATAGAAACATTTTTATAAAGGTATGTATAAAAAAAAATCTGCTGTTCATTAATTAATCTTTTATTATAATAAGTAATCAATTTCCTGAATAATAACTTGGATACATACAAATAGTTTATAAAATATTTCGGCAATATCATTCGCCGAAAGTGATCTCAAGCATTCTAATATTTCTTCAGAAGTGTCTTCATTACAACCAGCAATAACTGCAACTGCCTGGGTACGATGGCGAGATAAACCTGGAAATGGCGTTGCCCATCTACATGCAGAAGTACCACTCTGTAGAATAGCTTTATGAAATAGCCCCTTGCTCATTGGTGAGAGCATGTGATATCCAACACTGGCACCTCCAGCACTCTCTCCAAAAATAGTTACACTGTTAGGGTCGCCACCAAAATATTCTATATTATTTTTCACCCACTTCAACGCCATTACTTGGTCTTTAAGGCCAAAATTACCAGGTATAACGTTATCTTCAGAACTAAGAAACCCTATTAAACAAGAATTTTTAACAGTGCAGTAAGTTTATATTATATGTTTATGTATAACAATAGTTTCAAAGACATCTTATACAAATTGACATTTTTGAATAACGAATTAAATTTAATTAATTTAAATTTATAACCCATGATAAAAAAACCTATGTATATGAATTATCAGCTTTTAAAAATAACCTACAGAATTAAACAAAACATACCAAATATACCAAGTCTATAATTTATAGATACTAAAATTATATCCTTATCCATAAAATACTGAGGTCCCCCAGAACTAGATCCACCACTTCCGACAGAAAAACCACCACCATGTATCCAAAACATAACGGGCATTTTGCCATTAATTTTTGGAGTGTATACATTTAGGTAAAGACAATCTTCTGACCCAATTATTTTGTTGTTCTCCGATACAAAAAAAACATTTTTTTGAACACAAACATTTGCTTCTCTTGTCGCATCCAAAGTTTCATTCCAAGAATCTATTTTTATTGGGGCCTACATTAAAAATACAATTCTACACTAAAAAGTAATTGTTTTCAAAGTAATAGTTTTAAAATTATACTTCAAATCGTAATTCATTAATTGGAGGCATTGCATATGGTATTCCTGTAAACGAATAAAAATTACGACCATTCCTAGATTTCGCAATTCGACCTTTTAATAATCCATTTTTAGTGTTTATTATTGGCTCACAATTTGACGATACAAACAATAATATCAAAATTGCGCATAAAAACATGTTTTTCTAAAATCAAAGAAAAAACATTAACTATTCATATGTTTTAGAAAAAATTATATCAAAACATCTTACCATAGTTATTATAAATTAACTAAATTAATTTTTTAATATTATATTTGGCCTAAAAGTCTTAAAAAATCAAATTATTACATGTTATATTGATTATAATAATGCTTCATGTTACATTAAAGACAATGTTTTAAATATATACTGACTTCAATACTTTATCTATTAATAAATATAAATTATACAATCTATTAGTAGATATATTAGCTTAGGGTCAATTTCAACAAAATTTTTAGAAGGGCTAATTATAAGTTATGTCTCCCTCCCTGATTTTTTTTCTATAATCATTTAAGTAATTTTTCTGAAATTTCGGAGGAGCTAATTTTGAATATGATAGAGACTAAACCCCTCTTATTTTATTATCGCCCTTGTAAAATATCTTTGATGCGTCATTTTCATATGTATTATTATTATTAGACAATGGCCCGTGGATTCTGTAATTTTCCTATATAAATAAAGTAAATTATAATAATTTTATTTAATACACTAAAGAAATATTATTTTATGAGTAATAAATATGAATATACCGTAACAACTAGACTTCAATGCGAAGCTGAGAAGGTATTTTAATTTATTAATTTATTTATTTAATTAATTTTACCATGATGTGTTTATTTTTTTTTGCGTCTGTTGCCACTTTTTCTCAACTCTCACTGGACCAATTTAGATAAACAATATATCAAAGATCACAAAACGTATCTAGTTATAAACATTACTATTAAAAATAAAAAAAATTTCCTCGTTCCCCGTAAATAGAGCAAATTTCCAAAAAAATAACAATTTTTATAATCGATAAATGTCGTCATATTTTCACTTTTTTTTTATTAAACTACCATAACTTTTTAAATAATTCACAGATCAACATGAATTTTTTTTATATTGAAACCTTATATTGTAATCCCTTGTGTATTATAAATATATATTAACTCATAAATTTGTAACTTTAAATGTTTATATCTAATAAACAAATTAAGTTTCATTAAAAATTCAAATGCCATTTACTATTGAATTAAAAACTCAAACATTTTATTAAATTCAAAATATGTGTTACCATTTAAAAAAACAAAGTTGACACCCTTACCAGGCATAAGGGATGTACTTAAAAAGTATTACATAGTTAATAATTCAAGAATAATGTGAAACTAAAGATAATAATAAAAAAAATTTTTAAATTATTATTATGCTGTAAGTAATTGAGTGGGTTATGATAAAAAAATCACTCTGTATAGTATCAAGTATATCCTCTTATATATTTGATCCCTAAAATTAAAAAGTAAAATGTGTCTATTGACACGCAAAAACATAAACAAGTAATAAATTTTGATACAGGTAAGGTACCTGTAATATTACAAATATTAAAATATTTTTAAAATAACCAACAAAACATGTTTAAAAAAGTTAAAATTATGAAACTACAAAAAACCTAATATTTAAACTAAAAAGAAATATTTAACAACACACAAACGATGTACAACGCTTATATTAATAGATGATTATATTTATCAAGATTTTATGGTAATGTTTAAATGTATTATAAAAATACATTAGAAAATAGAAGACCAAAAAAATAAGATCAAATTCTTATCATTTACATTTGAGACCAGGATTGTCAATGAAACAAGTGAATTAATCATAAACCCGTTTACTTTTTTTGAAGTCATTACTTTAATATTTTATGTTATATAAAAATAAAACTATAAGACTCATTCATTTAGCCCAGCCTATGGCACACTAAAATTTATAAGAATTCAATAGCATTAAAAATAGGATAGCAATAAAAGGCCTTACTTAATACACCAAGGTGTCATTGGTTAAAGTTTGTTATAGCAACAGTTATTAATTAAGTTCATTATTTATATGAGTTTGTTAAAGATTTCATGGATTGTCAATCTATTTCAAATATTTTTAGATAAAGCTATGTCTTTATTTTAGCATTTATATTTCAAAAACTGATGATTTTAAGCTAATTAGTATTTTTTGTACAAACTTAAAGTTTAATTAGCTGTATTCGTCAAGACTTAATATTGAAATTAAATTCAAAAATCCATCTATACCCTGTAATACATATGATTCTTTTTCTCAGTATCAGTTCATTCAAAACAATATACACAAATCCCACCAATATGAAGAATAATGCATTTGGCTAATGAATATATAATCCCGCTTTTACAAATTTTAGAACTTAACTTAAAAGTTTGAAATTTATAAGTGTACATTCATGTATATTTAAAGACCATTTTGCGAAAAATTCAAGATGGTCTTACACTTTGACTCAAGCTTCCAACAGTTTATAGTTCATATTATAGCTGAAATAATGAATTTTTAATATGAATACAAACTTTGAATGCTCATAACTCATTCAAGCCAAAACTTGAGAGTCTGTAATTTGTCCAATATATGGGTAATCGTAAAAATTAATTTTCTCAGAATATATTGAACATTTTTAATTTTGTTAAGAGAAAAAATATTTAATTTTAAAACTCAACAATGTTATTAAGTTAAATAATTTCTTCTTCATTCCTACATGGATAAAATAACTTATCTTTAATTTACTTTGACGGTAATTAATATTAGCTTCGATGCGAAGCTAATTTTCAAACAATTTGATTTTACAATTTTATTATCCAATGGACCGTTCATCTTAACATGGTTTAAATACAATTGCACAAATAAGAGGGAGTCCCGGGTCTAAATCCCCCTTAAGTATTTCAAAACTCGAAAATTGTGTAAGGTAATTTTAGCTATTATCCAATTATATTTTACAGACAAAAATATTTATTAATTTTGGTAATACAGTATAGTAAATTAATAATTTTGTTTTAGCCTACTTTGCATTAGTAAAAAATTGTTATCGCCTATTGTCATTTTCTTAAAAATGTAAAATATTAAATCGAGAATTTTCACACAAAAATAGCATTTGGTAACTATATTCATCGTGAAGACAAAATAAAGTGCAAAATTTATTTTTCCATAATAAAATGTATTACATTATTTTTAATTTAAGATATATATAAAAGTGTCAGACTTTCCAGAACACTTTCAAAAGTTAAGTTGAAAAAGTATATTTTTCGTGAAAAAGTTGTCATTTCATTTGATTGCTATCACTGTAGTCGCCCCTCGCGAGAATAAATTTCTTATTCATATTAAAATTATTGTACTTTATTTTAGGTTTTAGCTTCGATGCAAAGCTGAGAAGGTATATTTTTGTGACTATCATTTATATTACTCTACTCTAATTTGACCTACTTTTTTCAACGATACGTCAAATGATTAAAATTCGTATCTAGTTGAAGATATTACCCTAAAAAATTGAAAAGAAAATCTAATTTATCAGTTATACAGTTACTTATCCCATGTTCTCCATACAGACAATTAAAATCATTCATTTATAATATTTTCTAAGTATTTATTGACGAATCAAATTCGATATGATAGGTTTCAATTACAAAATTAAATCATTTTACTTTGTAATTTAATAATTTTTTTATTCTATTTGTGTGTGCTACTACTAGACTTTTTTTTTTTTTTTACGCTTTTATTAGCCTATTAAGGGCCATGGCGGCCTCCCCAAAGGAGGAGGTTTCTTAACCATTTATACTCCGGGACGGGTGGTTAGTCCGTCGCCGGAGGTGGGATGGCGACTCCAAATTACCGAACTGATCTCTCGTTCGGTAAATGAAGCCGCCGTGACCGAGTTTTGAACCTGAGACACTACGCGTCAAGCACTGCCGCGTTACCGACTCGGCCACACCGTTCCACACGACTACTAGACTTTAATATTCCAAATTTTTTGGTAACATGTTGCTATATAAATGACTTCTAAAAAAAATGATTGTTAGTTTCTTCTAAATTAAGAATGGATTTGTACAATTATAATGAAATTTTATAATACGCTCAATTGAATAGATCTTTTTAACAACTTTTTTTGATTGTTTTTTTTTTGTTAAAGTAAATCATTAAAATTAATTCTGTTCATATTTCAATTGTAGATATTTTTAAACACCAAAAGTTACTAGGAAATTATTACTATTATTTCTACTTAAGTTATCTATCATGATAAAATGCAAAAAAATATTGAGCTTTTCTAATAAATTTACTACAAATAGTAATTATAAAATATCCTGACTGCATATTAATCTTAACGATACAATTTTTTTAATCTTAATAAAATTTCCTATTTAATGATGTCAATTTCAAACTTGCAAATTGAGTTAAATGTTATGGTAATTAATTAATTTTTTTTATAATGTCTCCGTAAAAATTACAATTTTAAATTATTGAATATCAATTTCATACTAAATTTAATTACTATAATTATTATTTATTCATATATTATAATTATAAATCAAATAACTAATCGGGATAAAATTAAGGGAACAAGAGTTATTGTTGCTTTTGAAATAATTTCTTAAAATTAAACACTATCTACAGATTTGCATCGATGCGTTTCTTATGATAGTGATTTTAATTTAGTTTTAAAACTAAATTTTTTTTAATTAAATTAAAGTTAAAACTAAACTTTATAGAAGTTATAACATATTTTCTAAAGTAACTTGTGAAGATGATGCTTGGTTTGAAAATGACCACAAAAACAAATGATAAATTTAACAGTGTTGAAGTATTTAGATGTTAGAACGTATCACGAAGTTAGAATAAGAAATGAAGAACGCATTAAAACAAAAGCAAAGCTAAGAAAGACTATTTATTTAAATCACGATTAATTTATGTTCGTTACTGTTTTACTTTAAGTTTTGGAAAGAATAATTATTTTTAGTTTTACCTTATAATTCATTGCATAACTTATACTAATTAATAATTACTAACCATTAAAAAATAAAAAGTAAAATGTTATCATGTAATAATGCAAACAAATAACCTCAATTTACTATCACCACAGTCTTCACTGGTAAACATCAATGTCCTATCCATGTTTATAAGATCTATGCATGAAGAAAACTTGTACCCTACACTGATACGTTCATACATTCAGATTTTAAACGACTTCTTATTTTCACTGATAACTGCTCAGGGCAAAATAAAAATCTAGGAATAACTAGATTCATGACTTAAAAGATGTAAATCAGTAATGATGTTTCCTTTACGCAGATACAATTTTATGCCGTGTAATTTCGCCAACATTAAAAAAGGCTTAAAAAGTGTGGAAAGAATATAAATGTTAGTTAAGTACATACATGTTATCAAAAGAGTATTTACAATTAATAAACAATTTAGTCATAAAAACCAATCATAATGATGTAGAGTTTAGTATTTTCAACTGAATGAACAATTGGAGATTTTAATATCAGGATTTTAAAATTTATAATTTTTCTTCCGTGAAATATATTGAATAAATTATTTTTGGGGTATTGAAAGAGCGTTATGAAATTAAAAATGCTATACCATAAAAAAGTTTAATCATTATAATATTTATTTAGGCTTAAAACATTTATTAGGAAAAAATCACAACCCACCTATACAATTTTTGATCTCTAAAAAGCAGTAATAGCGATAAGTTCTGGTAAATTAACACAAAGTCAAGCATCTGAAGCATTTTCTATTCACGCATCTACTTTATTTAATAGAGTAAAAGGTCGTAGAAACCCAATTTCTTGCAATTTAGGTCCTTAAAGTGACAATTTTGAAAAAATAATAGAAAATTGTTTAAAAATAAGCGTATTTATGTAATATTTGTATGATAAACAAAAACTTAGAAGTATAGTTAAAGAAATATAGATAGAAACAATATTAAAAAACTTTTTTGTGATAATTTACCTGGGCTTGATGTAATTGGTACTACAGTTTTATGCATAGGCACAGCGATTTATGCTTTAAAAAGCCTGAACTCCTTCAAAAATTAAAAGACGCTCATAATGTGGTATACGATTATTATAAAAAGGTAAATGAAATTTTCTAAAATAATAATATTCAAAAAGCTTTTAGCTTCGATGCGAAGCGGAGAAGGTATTGATTTTACTATGATGTGTTTTTTTTTTTATGTCTGTTGCCACTTTTTCTCAGCTCTCACTGGACCGATTTCTTTCAAAAATACGTCAAAAGATCACAAATCGTATCTAGTTGAAGACATTACCCTTCAAAATTGAAAAAATTTCCCTCGTTCCCCGTAAATGGGGGAAATCTCCAAAAAAATTACGAATTTAAAAATCGCTAATTTTCGAAATTTTTTCAATTTTTTTTCTTAAAACTTCCATAACTTTTTGAAAAATCAACAAATCAACATAATTTTTTTTTATACTAAAACCTTAGATATCTACCTTTCATTTGATATCAGTTTTTTGAAAATCTATCGCTTAACCTGTTCATTGAGGGGGATTTAAAATGGCAACTTTTTTTCTTTTAAAAATTCTTTCAACTTAATTTTTGAAAATGTTCCGGAAATACTGCGTCCTTCAAACATATATCAAATTAAAGCTTATTTTATGTACTATAAAATGAAAAAAAAAAATTTGTCCCGACACTTTTTCTTCTACATTTAAACGGCTGCCGTAGTTAAAAAAACACTATTTTTGTGTTAAAATTTTCGATTTTCGATTTTTAATTTTCAACTTAAAAATGCTATAACTTTTTGAAAAATGTATATATCAGCACAAATTTTTTTTTTCTAAATACATTATAAGTACATCTTTCATTTGACATACTTTTTATTAAAATTGGACAATTTCCCCTTATATAGGGGGCGTTCAAAACTTAAAATATTGTAAAAAACATAGATCTTTTTCAACTGAACTTTTGAAAATGTTCCGGAAATACTGCGTCCTTTAAACATATATCAAATCAAAGGTTATGTTATATACTATCAAATGAAAAAAAAAAATTTGTCCCGACATCTTATCTTCTATGTGCAAATGGCTGTCGAAAATTTAAAAAAAAATGTAATGTTTGTGATAAAAATGACCTCGATTTTAAATTTTCAACTTAAAAATGCTATAACTTTTTGAAAAATGTATATATCAGCACAAATTTTTTTTTTCTAAATACATTATAAGTACATCTTTCATTTGACATACTTTTTATTAAAATTGGACAATTTCCCCTTATATAGGGGGCGTTCAAAACTTAAAATATTGTAAAAAACATAGATCTTTTTCAACTGAACTTTTGAAAATGTTCCGGAAATACTGCGTCCTTTAAACATATATCAAATCAAAGGTTATGTTATATACTATCAAATGAAAAAAAAAAATTTGTCCCGACATCTTATCTTCTATGTGCAAATGGCTGTCGAAAATTTAAAAAAAAATGTAATGTTTGCGATAAAAATTACATTTTATCGGGATGTTTTTTGTACTTAAAACTGCCATAACTTTTTCAAAAATGAACAAATAAAAATAATATTTTTTTGTATTGAAACCTTAGATATTTCCCTTTCATTTGATATAATTTTTTTTGAAAATCTAACACTTATTCTGCTCACTGGGAGGATTTAAAATAGTAACTTTTTTACAAAAAATAACTTTTTCAACTTAATTTTTGAAAATGTTCCGGAAATACTGCGTCCTTTAAACATATATAAAATTAAAGCTTATTTTATGTACTACAAAATGAAAAAAAAAAATTTGTCCCGACGATCTATCTTCTATACGCAAATGGCTACCATATTGAAAAATATGCTATTTTTGTATGAAAATTATGGGTTTTGTATTTTATTTTAATAGAAGTTGATGTTGCTTTTGCAATTATCCATCAATTTTTTAAAATTAAACACTATCTACAGATTTGCATCGAAGCGTTTCTTATGATAGTGATTTTAATCACTGTCAGATTAAATCTATACTGGACCCTACTATGCAATGTCTCTACTATGCCGTGACCCCACTGTGCTACCGTTTTGTTTTTAATGCTGATGAAAGTAAATTTTGAACTGACCCTTCAAGAAATAATGTTATAAAAGAAAAATCAAACCCTTAACCATGTTTCAGCTTGTATAGTAGCTGATAGTGATTTTTTACCACCTTTTATAATATATAAAAGTGCTACTGTTCAAGCTCGTTGGATTTCAGAGGTGACATTCCTACTAAATGACATACTCATTTCAATTGGTTGGGTTGATATTATTTTTATATTTTATTATTAAAGCATTTATTAAATATTGAAAAAAAAGAAATTATCTTGAGTCTAAAAAAAAAGTCCTCTTTCTGCATGATAGTCATTTATACATATAAGCTTAAGAATTATTGATCACCTTACTGATTAATTGCAATCTCTTGATAAATGTAGCCTTTAAAACCATATGAATAAAGAAGTAAATTCAATTTGGTAAATCAGTAATGGGGAAAGGACTTGGTAGAGTACTAAATCAAAGTTTTCAGGAATAATCGGTAGTGTGTGGTTAGAAGAAATGAAAATAAAAAATATAATTATAGGTTATATAAATACTGGTGTTTTTCCTGTGAATAAAAATTAATTTTCTTTGTCATACTGTGAACCAATTGATTTAAATGACTATTTAAATTATAAGTCTAAAATACCTTCATCACTAGTACCTAAATACTCATCAGCAAGAAGTAGATTCAGCTGTATTACCCTCAAAGTTTCAGATAGCACAAAAACTTATTGAAAACGAAGTAAACTGTAACTTACGTTCTACTTCTTCAAGTTTCAATATAAATAAATTTCTGGTTAATAATATAATACAACCAGACCAAACTGGTATTGTTGGAATTTTTTTAAATGCCTAGTAAATATGTAACTACCAACAAGTGTTCAAACCAAAAATACAGAAGTAATTCCTAGATTAAATACAACTCGTTATGGAGAAAGAATTACTACAGAAAAATCTGTATGTAGATTACAGGACGTAAAAAAAAGTAGGAAATAATAAAAGGAGAGCTAAACCTAAACGTAGTCAAAATATAAAAGAAAACACTATCATAAGACTTCGTAGATATGGAGATAAGCTATCGCGCGATATCAAATCTACAATTGTTCCAATAAATATTAATACAACAATATTGTGTACATTGTACTTAATTTAAATGAAATTATAGTACTTAGTACATATTATAAAATAAATTAATATTATTTTATTTTAAAATGTTTTTCTGTGCTAGCTATTATTGTTGTATTACCAGCGATAATATAATAACACAATGTTTACGTTTTGCTATATTTAACGGCAATAATACGACGACATACTGATGAAGCCAATATTAAATAAACTTAAACGTACCTTTTAAATCTTAATCGTAGAAACGTAGTTGAGCAAGAGAAAAACAGTAAAACAATAAACGTATAAAACGTAAAATAATATTGTACAATACTTAGTAATAATACAGATAAGATAAAAACGAGTTTCATTTAATCTGTGGTAATAACGCATGACTCTACTACACGTACACAACTATATATCCAAATAAAATATAATTATGTATTATATTACAGAAATAATCGATAATGCTAATCGCAATGAATCTGTCGCGTTGGCCGTTATCTGATGCTACTCATATCTTAATTCTAAATAAATAGCGATTACAAAGGCGGTTACAATTATAATAAATTATCATCTATGGATTAAATTATGCTCATACTATAATAAATGATGATCAACACAATGGATGGAATATTATAAATGAGGTTTAAATGTATCCAATTTATTAAATATTATTTCAAAACAACTAATATATGTAAAGAAATATTTGACGGGTAAGACCTTGGTGCATCTCAATAATTTAAATGACAAAGAAGTTTTTAATATTATCGTTCTTCAATAACATTAATCATATTTTCTAAGATAATACTAACTTTTATTTTACTAACTTTTGGTAGACTTTGATAATTGAAAAGGCTTTGTATAAAAACAAAATGGAGAGTTATCTGGTTTTATTGAATTAAATTTTGGCATTTCAAATTTAAGATTAAAACCATGAATATAATAATATATAATCTATCCAAGAAAAAAATACTAACAATCAATAATTTTTATTTATAAATTATTTAATTATTATATTATTATTATTTAATTATAAATTATATTATTAATTTTTTTTTTTTTTTGCATAAATGTATTCACAATTTTAATCTATATTTAGAATTTCTGATATCATTTATTGTTTGGTATGATTTACTATTTAAAATCAATGTAGCCAATAAAGCCATAAAAAAAATCACTATGGACATAATCACAGCAACTTTATGATTGTTTTTAAAGAAAATAATACTGTCTATATAAATGTAGTACAATAAACATAAAGGATGTTTTTAAATATGATTGACTTAAGTAAAGAAACCATTAAATGATAGCACTTGAATTTTATTTCATTTAAAATAAAACAATACTTTTATGGAGAGGGACACATGTTAATTCGACTAGGGCACCAATGACTATACTGGCGGCACTGTATATATATATATATTGATGATAAAGCGTATGTGAAAAATGTCCCTATAACCCTTAATCCAGCGATTCATACTTTTTTATCAATAAATAAGTATATATATGTATAAATATTTGCGTGTACGACGATAACATAATCAAGTTATAATTTTGATTTGCAATAATAAGATTTAATAAGATAAATTATTATAATAATTAGTTCAACAATATTCAAAATGTAAAATTGCGAGTAGAAAATGAACTTAAGTCTACCTAGGAAATATCAAATAATAAAAAAATCACATATAATACCTAAAATTACAACTCGGATTTTAAATTTTGAGAGAATTCGGAACTTTTTTTTGAAACTATCTCATTTAGATGTGATAAAAGCGGCAATTTATTCCAGAAATTGTATTTTTCTTTGAAAGGGTTTAACTTAATATTTGGTTGAGGAGAATTCAAATGTAGAATTGACGATTCTTCAAACGATTCGAACTGTGGCCATGCTAATCCATTTTCTTTACCATCAATTGTAGGATATCTAAATTAATAGAATAGAAATAATTAAAAATATAGCTTGTTCTAATTTAATAATACTGTACCTACATATAAATATATTTTATTAATAAAATTTATAATTAACATACCTAAATAAAGTGCATTTTCAAACGATTTATTGGGTCACCTTAATTTTAAAAAAGGTTTGAATAATTTATTTTTAGCAGCGCCGGCGGTAGGTTTTGCGGGGCCCGGGGCAGATTATTTCATGGAGCTCTAGACATTTTTTTTCGCGAAGCCAAACAAATTTTTTTGGGACGCTTAAATACTTATAAAACATTTTTTTTTATTTCACATAACTTATGTAAAAACATTTTTCTTAGGCATAAAATGAAACAAAATATTAAACATAAACTCTTTAAATATGTATTTATTTCTGTATAGATAAAATTTTCATATTAAAATAAAATATATACAAATTAAATGTTTACACTAAATAAAAGTTGAAAAATTAATTTTATAACATCAAAATAGTTTTGTTCTGGTTTTTTTCTTGGTTGCAGCAAAAATGTCAATCAGCTCATTAAAATCTAATAAGTCAGTAATTTCTTGTTAAATTGACAGAGTATCTAGGCTTGTAAGCTTACATTGTACACCCAAAGAAAAACCTCAATCAATTTTGATAGAGAAATTTTATCAAGGGTTTATGATAATGTTTTATTAATACGAACAAAATAACTATTCTTATAAATAATTATTGTTCAAGACAAGAAAAAAAAATATCATATTGATAAATATATCATAGGTTCAATAGTAATGATATATTTATCAAATGGAACAATGAATTTATTATATAGATCGAGGTTTTTCTCTGGGTGTGATAAAGTACTCCTTAAGTAGTTTTTAATTATTTTTAATTTGGAAAAACTAGTTTCCACACCAGCAGATGTTACTGGAATTGAGCGAATTATTCTGAGTGCAACTGAAATATTTGGATAAGAACTGCAACATTTTTTTAGTACTGAAAGAGCTTGAAAAGCTGTCGTTTCTTCAGAAATCATAGTACAAAAAATAAGCGATTCTTCATACAATTCATAATCATTTATATCTTTTAATTCACCTTCAGTTAGAACGTTTTAAAGATCATGGCAACATTTTTAACTCCTCTTTTTCCATGAATTTTATTTTGTTAATCCGATACAAAAAACCAAAGTTATTATTAAACGATTTAAGCTGTCAAAATCTCATATTCATGGAAACGATAGCTTGATCAACAATAGTTGAAAAATAATCTTGATAAAAAATAGTTTCTTCATTTTTAGATAATTCATCTTGAGTTTCATATGAAAATATCTTTTTTTGGTTTTTTCTAAAAACTGTAGAAACGCCTATAACTTCTGCCAAATCTTTAGCAGTTGTTTTTTGCAAATTCAAATGTAATATTCCTATAGTCATTCAAAAATGAGAGTAATTTATTTAACATACTAGCTGAAATATCTAAATCCATGTTAGTGCTTTGAAGATTTTTGCTTATTGTGTTAACTTCAACTAGGATATCATACCAAATAATTATGCTAAGAATAAATGTGTAACTACTAATTACATTTTCTAAGGATATACATTCACCTCTTAATAAAGAGTCTGATGATGTATTTGATACTTCTTCCAATATATTTAAATTTTTTGGCATTTGATATCGAATCGCCTTAACACTTTCAAGGCGGCTTTTTCAAAAAGTTTCAGACCATTTTTTCACAGTCATAATTAGACAATGCTTATTTAAAATGGCCCATCTAGAAGTAGATGCGGAAAAAATTGTGTATACTCTTTCAACGGTCCCAAAAAATGTCATAGCCTTAACTGAACTTTGGGCGATATCACGAAGTAATAAGTTCAAATTGTGAGAAGCACGAGGCAATTATAAAATCTAAATAATATTCTTTTATTTTAGGTTTATTAAAATCATAATTTTCGTTCATATTTACTGCTCGTATTATAATAGATAATTGCTCTTTGCAGCTAGTATCTGGAGTATAGTCCATTATTATAGAATAATATTTACATTGTTGAATTTCTTTTATTACTTTTTTTTAACCTCATTAGCCATTAAGATTATGGGCTCATCCTGAATATCGTGTCCGAAATAGTGAGTATGTGTCCCTTCATTTTGAATGCGTCGTACATGTTCTATTGTAACCAAGTCAAATTTGGATAACATTTCAATCGAACCTAAAAACTTACCATTATTTTTTGTAAATATTATATCTGATTTCCCACAAAACCCATCATTATGCTTAGCCAAGTACTGAATTATGCATAAAAATCGCTAAAGCATAGCTTTCTAATGTTTTTTTTTCTTCTTCTATTTTAGCCAAATGTTGTTGATCTATAGTAATCAATGACTTTAATCTTATTTTTAAGTCAAACCATTGCTTTAAAGATAAATTACGAGCCTCAGAACATTCATGTTGTAAAAGCTTTTGCGACAAATGCTTCCAGTCGTTTACACCTTCCTTAATATTAGCTAAATTACTTTCTGATTTTTCAGAAAGGCGTACTTTTAATTAATTGGGATCTTGGCCCACTGAAAAATTCATTATTAAACTTGTGTAAACTGGCAAAATGTGATAATATTACTTAGTGATGACGTCACTAGGTGATAAGGTCACTAGGGGTATATAAGGGAGTTTTTTCTAGTCGGGGTGTCAGTATGTGTTTAGCGTTGATAATGGTAACATTGTTTCCGAAATACGTATCCGCGACTTTTCATTAATTTTTTTGTGGCTTTGAGTTTAATATTTTTAATATTTTTTAGTTTTTTTAAATTAATAATATTTTTAATATAGTTTTAATTTTACTCAAAATTTCTCTGTTGATTATTTCTTAGTATGGATATCATATTTTATCACTAAAGAGATAACAATATATTATAATAAGTACCGATACCGACCTACTCAAAATAATGTTGAGTTAAAGATTAAAATACTAAAAAAAATTCATAGGACAGATGACACTTGTTATTTAATTTGAAAGCAAGATTTTAGGCAAACTCCGCATACAAATCATTAAATCCCATGAAGGGCGCAGGGCCCTAGGCAACTGTCCTTACGCCGACGCTGATATTTAGAATATTTCAATTAATTACAAATTAAAATGTTATTTTAAATACTAATTTAGGAGTAAAAATCAAATTTATTCAAAAATAAAACTTGAACCTTACCTAAAGTTTTTAATGTTGTGAATTTTAAGATTTTTAAAAACTTATAACCAGCTTAAAGTTTATTTAATTTATTATCTACAAGCATAGTTGTAAAAAATATTTTTAAAAAGTATTTTAAATAATATTCAAATATTTAAAAAAAAATGTATTTAAAATACTATTTGAATACTTTTCATACAAAAGTATTTGAGTAATACTCAATTACTTTACAAAAGTATTTCAAATACTAAGAATGCAATTAAAAAATAATAATAATGTTTTTATTTTAACTAAGAGCAAAAGGTTCCACCTAAATAATTACCAAGAGGGTAATTTGAGTCAAATATTGAGTACTCTTAAATTAAGAGAACTCATTTATTATTTTCGATATTTTTTGTTAGAGGTAAATAAAATTAATTATTGGAGACTAATCAGTGAAAAAAATAAATATTAGGACACGTGTAAAAACCTGTAAAGTATGTCTTATTGACAATAGAGTAAATCATTTGAACCTGCAATAGGCTATTGTAGGTTCAACTGATGTATTAAAAATAGATGTATACATAATAGCATTTAGATAAGCACAATAATTATGTTATACTATAATGTAACATATAAAATAACAGAGAATTATTCTCAATTTTCATTTTGACTGAGTTTAATTTGCTTGCTGTGTTACGGTTAGCAAATTAAAAAAAAAAAAGTATATTAATAGTACTGAATATTAAACAGTATTAAATACTAAATAATTGTATTTAAAATACTACTTAGATACTTTTTATTAAATGTATTTAAAAATACTATTCAATACCAATGAAAGTATTTGAATACTTTTATTCAAATACATTTACTCAAATGCTTTACGCCTTTGTCTACAAGTAATACATTAACAGGGTAAAAGGCATATTTTTATATAGGACGGGTTAGCTTAATTAAATGTCAAATATGATATTTTTGCTCACTGTATTAATTTTTTAAGTTTTTACCGCAATTTACTAAAAAATATATGCATAAAAAAAATATTTGTGCAATGACGTACTCGGAAATAGCAAATTTTGTCCAAATATCAACCATCATTTTTGATACTTCTGTATCCTTGTTGTTTAAACCTTGTGGTAATAGAACGTTCATTTTAAACAAACTTATCATCTCGTCTCCATGTGAAACTCCCAACGACTTTTCGCAGCTTCCATAAAATTTGTTTAATGAAATTTCATTTTCATAATCAAACAAATATAAGTAAACGGGTGACGAGAATTTCAATGCTGTATCTATAATACATGTTGTGAATACTCCTTCACCAATCAACTAAAACAGATATAAGTAATGTAACACTAATTGAACACAAATTTTTTTTACACGAAATTTTTATATATTCTTATGTATTTTAAAATCAGTTAGTTTCTAAAAAACCTTTCGTTAAAATCTATATTAGAATTACTGATGAAAGTTCTGGTTTCGATGCGAAGCTGCAAAGGTATTTAACTATGATGTTTTTTTTTTTTTGCTATCACTACTTTTTTTTAGCTCTCACTGGACCGATATTTTTCATTGACATTAAAAGATCACAAATCGTATATAGTTGAAGACTTTACCCACAAAAATTGAAAATTATGCTCTCGTTCTCCGTAAATAGTAAAAATCTCCCAAAAAATTAGGATTTTAAAATTGGTAAATTTTGACATTTTTTAAACTTTTTTTTCTAAAAATTGCCATTACTTATAAAATGAACAATTTAATATAATTCTTTTTATATTTAAACCTTAGATATTTTTCTTTCATTTGAAATAAATTCTTTGATAATCTTTATCTGCCCACAGGGAAGAATTCAAAATAACAACTTCTGCACAAAAATTTAACTACTGCAACTTAAGTTTTGAAAATGTTCCAGAAATACTCCGAGCTTCAAACATATGATAAAATAAAGCTAATTTTATCCACTATAAGTAAAAAAAAAATTGTCCCGACGACTTATCTTCTATGTGATAACAGTTGCCGTAGATAAAAAACATGCAAATTTGGTGTTAAAATTTACAATTTCGGATTTTATTTTTTCAACTTTAAATTAATACAACTTTCCGAAAAATATATGAATCAATACAACTATATTTCATAAATACTTTATGTTTACTTTTTTCATTTGATATACATTTTTTGAAAATCTGACTCTTGACTTGACCATAGAGGGGATTGAAGCAATTTTTACACGCAAATTAAGCTTTTTTGAAAATTTTCCGAAAATATTGACATTTTTATTTAATCTTAAATTAAAGCTTATGTAATATACTATAATATGGTAAAAAAAATTTTGATATATAGTGAAAATAGTTATCATATTCAAAAATATGCTATTTTTGTGTTAAAATTCTTGGTTAGTTTAATTTATTTTAATATACCTTATAAGAAGGTACACTGATTTTCATGAATATTATATAAATCTAATTGAAATAGAATATAAAGTTAAACTTAATTACATTTTTTTTTCTTTTAAGTTGAAAAAATTAATTTTAACATTTGAATCAGCTTAAATTGCGAATTATATCAAAAAATGAATGCGACGAACGTTTGCCGATTTAGTAAAAATCATTGTCTGTGGCAATGATTTTTTCGCAATTCTTTTGAGTTAAAATTTTGCTTTTCCACTAATTTCTCAAAATTAAACACTATCTACAGATTTGCATCGAAGCGTTTCTTATGATAATGGTTTTAATCACTGTCAGGTATCATCTATACTTGTCCCAACTATGCCACACTCACACTGTGCTACAGTTTTTATTTGTGTTAAGCTTATTTCTGTATCTTCATATTAAATAATTATATCACTCAGTACGTATTAAACTTACTAAAATTTACCAGGAAATTACTTGTTTATTCACAATATCATGCAATAATCATGCAATATTAAATGATAATACAATTTCACTAAGAAACTTTATCACCTCTAACTTTTTTTTACTTTTTTTTGCTTATTGCTATTATAAAAATATTTTTTCGTGAAATTATGAATATTCATTGAAGAGTATGTCTTTTAACATATCACCCATGCATTGCGAATACGATACATATATTTAAGAATGGCTCCACTGCCTTTATATATTGAATTTTTTTTTTTTTTTTTTAACTACAATAAGAATAAAATTCAAGTAAATATGTTAGAGTCCTTTTATGCCAGGGCATCTTTTCAGATTATACAAAACTGGGGTAAATTTTTGACGAGCATATCATTTTATAAAGACTCTCGCTCCGCTCAGGATTTATACCCTATAATAAATTATGCAATTTATCTAAAGTTAATGAGGATAAAATGTTTTTCACGACTAAAATCATGTTTTATAGATTACATTTAAATAACCCGGTAAGCTCAACCTAGTGTATTGAAAATATAGACTGGGGTAAACGCCCAAGTTGCTTCTCCTCAAAAACTGAATGATGAAAAATAGCTTTTACAATCATTTAATAACTTTATTCTTTATTTTGTCTTTTCTATTAACAACATTTCTGTATAATTATAATATTTAATTTTAATTTAAAATTACATCATAAATAGATTTTTTTTAGCAAAAAATCATAAATATTATTGTTAATGTTTAGAATGTTTAAGTTGGATTTAACTCTACTTGAGATTTTTTCAGTAATAAATACTAGCTTTTAATTTAATTTTAGCTATTTCATAGAACTATTTAAAAAAAATGGTCAATAATACACTTTATGAACGTGAATAATCAAATATTATCACCTTTAAATAACACAACTTGTTCATAATTTTTTCTCCATAATTAAAAATGTATTATTTTTTAATTTTGTATCAAGAAAAAATTTTGAATCATGTTTATTGATGATTAATTAGAAAAAACTTACGTCGACAGCATTAGAATGGGTGTGATCATCAACTTGACCAGTTGGAAAGTACTCTTTGAGCATAAGATTACTTATTTCATCAAAATGCTCTGGCTTTGCAAAATGTTTGTAAAATAAAAGATTAGGCATAATATTCTTAAAATCAGTTCGAAGTTCTGGATACAGAGGAGATGTGCTGTTGTACAACGCTAAAATAATTTGTTTTCTGTATTTGCTTTTGGAAAACTGAACAAAATAACAAAAAAAATGAATAACACTTACATGCAATGTAAAGCCCACCTTCACCTGAGTTCAATCCTATAATGACAGGTACATGCGATTCCTGTTTAAAATTAACTAGAGGATGACGACATAAGAATGCTTCCTCGTCAGAATTACATGATTCAACAACAGGACTAAATAATACACTTGGGTGAATATTCCATTCCTAAAATAATAACCACAATTTACAATAACTAAATTAAATTCGTGCAATTAAAAAAAAATATATCATTAATTATATACTACGAGTAAATCATTATCATTCATTAGCCTCTATCCCAACTATGTAGGGTCAGTCCTAATCTATAAATTTGACAGTATTTTTACACTGACTGTCACGACCTGATACAATCTTATTATGGATGAGGGTACCAGTAAAGAGGCAAGATGTGTGTCACTGTTCCTTATGGTCACCCATCTGGGAAATAACAATAAACAGCGCAGTTGAACATCAGCGCTATGGCGACAACTAAATAAACCATTGCACCACACTACGTCCCTATACTACAAATACATATAAAACCATGAAACTCACAAAAAATTTATAATAAATATCTGCCATAGTCTTTGCAGGAATAGTTCTTAAACATTTTAAAATTTCTTTAGAATTATGTACAAAACATCCAGCTATCGTAGCTACAGCTTCTGCTCGTTTACGTGGTAACCCTGGGACAGATACAGCCCATCTACATAAAGGAGCACCACTTTGTAGAATTGCTTTGTGAAATAAACCTTTGCTCATTGGTGAAATCATATGGTATCCAGTACTAGCGCCTCCAGCACTTTCGCCAAAAATAGTAACTTGATTAGGATCACCACCAAATCGGGCAATATTTTCTTGAACCCAACGTAATGCCATAACTTGATCCTTCATACCATAATTACCAGGCATCACATCGTCTTCAAAGCTAAGAAATCCTGAAATTAAGTTTTCGAATGAATGAGGTATTTAATAGAAAAAAAATAAAATTCCAACCATTCCTAACCTAAAATTCCAAGTCGATAATTTAAAGACACAAAAACAATTTCTTTGTCCATGAAATATTCTGGACCATATAAATCAGGACCACTATGGCCAGCCGCAAAACCTCCACCATGTATCCATACCATAACAGGTAAATTTCCATTCAAATTTTTGGTGTAAACGTTTAAGTTTAGACAGTCTTCTTCACCTTGTAACAAATCTTTGTGTGTTTTAAAATAATAGTTTCTTTGAATACACATATTGCCAGTTTTTGTTGCATCTAAAGTTCCATTCCATGAATCAAATGGTTCAGGTGCCTAGTATGCACAAAACAATTTTATTAAAAAATGTTGCACACATTATTTTACCTGAATTAAATTTTTTTGTATAGTTCATTTATAATGGATATAATTCTAAAATTATAAATTTTTAACGTGTAATAATTACTTACTTGTAGAATAATATCTACAAATTTTTTAAACAAAGTTTACTCTACTCAAAAATCTAGAAAATAAATATTATATGTTTAGCGTTGATATTGGTAACATTGTTACCAAAATACATATCAGCGTTCTTTTTAGTATTTTTTTATGGCTTTCTGAGATAAATATTTTTTAGTTTTAAATTAATATTTTTAATATAATTTAAATTTTAATAATATAAGCCACAAGTGATAAATTTTTATTATATAAGTTTATTATTTTATATGAAATATGTATAACATAGGAAAAGTTTTAGGTTAAGTAAAAAATGGAATTTGCTAATTATTTTCGTAATATACATTTTAAAAGAATAATTAACCAATTCTTTTTTAAAACCATTCACTAAAAATATAAATGTATAAATAAATAAAACCTTAAATCGCAGATCTCCAACTGGAGGCTTAGCGTAAGGTATACCAGTAAATGAATAAAATGTATGACCATCTCTTGATTTTACAATTTTTCCTTTCAAGAATCCTTTATTTGTTTCCACTTCTAAATTGCAAGATACTTGAGTTGCAATGAAAAAAAGGGTAATAAAATTCAAACCCATTTTCAGCTAAATAAAAATATGACAAATATAAAAAAAATTAATTATAAATTATATAATTTCTTATATATTTATAGAAAAAATAAATAACGTAGGATTATTAGTCTATTGATAATTAGCTTGAAATTAATAAACGAGAATTAAACAAAAATAATAACTAGATGAAAATTTCAGATTTTTAAATAAGTCGAAATATATGATTTGTTTCTCAGACTTAACAACAAAATAATTTACATACTTGATACTAAATAATTATTTAATAATTGCATACACTATAATAATATCAAAAACCAGTAATCAATCATTTATAGTCATGCTTTATAACTTATTTGATTCATACCTATACGATGAAACAGACTATAAATATACTCTTAAAGCCTTATAATGATTTACCTAATGTCACAACACAAAATCGCCAATATTTTTAGACATTGACTGTAATATTTTCATTGTTCCAAGAACACGGTATTGCCAATTCGGAAAGACCGTATTTGGACAGGCCCAAAGGGGGTCTAACCCTCCCTCGCTCTCATTTTTATCAAAATTTAGTACAAAATAAAGTTATAGTCACTATGAATTATAAATTATGACTAATATTTAAAGAGATATACCTGAATATAAACATATTTCTTTGTTTCTTAAAATATTGTTTTCTGAGTCAAAGTGATATAAATATTTTATATTTATATTTGAAGTTAATACATTAAAAAAAAACCCAGCACAGGGGGGTCGCGGCACAGTGGTGACGTGGTATAGTTGGATCAAGTATAATGATATCTGACAGTGATTAAAATCACTATCAAAAATAAACGCTTCGATGCAAATCTTTAGATAGTGTTTAATTTTAAAAAAATTGGTGTTTTATTCCAAAAGCTACTTGAT